AAACAGCATAGCATCAAGCCTGTGGGCCAAAACAAAGGTGGAAGGAAAAGACACTGGACTATTATAGTGGCAGCATTGTTTTTTCCATTTAATGGCATTCATCAATTTAAGAATGGCTACAAAGAACATTGTGCCCGAGCCCAGCTCGATAGTTACTTTCCTCCCATCGGTACTCTCAATTTACCGGCAGTTTTATCTTCAGCATTAGGCACCGTTCCCACGTGGACAAATGAAGGTAGCTCTGTGTCTAGGCTATTCTGGTGCGGGTTGACAGTGGGAGAGCTAATGTGGACTGCTGCTGAAAAGTCCGGTGACGCCCCTTCAGAAAGGAACCCAGCGTAGAAAGCCAGCAGGACAAGGCGAGGCATTGAGGAAAAATTAAAGTATCCGAAGGGTCGAAAAGACCAAAAGAGCTAACCACAGGACAAAAAGGTCTTCACACTGCCTGGAACGGATGCGAGCGTGTAGTGGACGACTGATTGCTCATCAAGGTAACAACCCCACCTGCCAGCTAGACCATGGCGTGCTCCCATCATATGGGCTACAATAAGCCAATCTTCTGGATTCGTATTCAGATTTGTGTAGCTTCAGCAGAAAATTTTTGGAGAGCTGAGTGCGTAGGCTTTCACTGCCCTTTTTAACAGCGCGATTATTCCATTCCATTCCATTGGCTTGGGAACCTGCGTGTGTGTGTGTTCATCTGTCGCTCATCCGCTTAACACGCTGTGGGAAAGTATAAAATGCCTAATTTTGTTATGTTATGGGAGGTATATTCCTGCTAATTTCCCATTTTGTTGTTCTTCTCTCCTAGAAGGCCTTGAGGTGCGGCAAGCAGTGTGTAGCGTGAGGGACCGATCCCGTTCACGCTAGTGGGATCTCAAAATATAAAGACAAGCGATACACACAGAATTATATTAGACGGTTGAAATAGCTTTTTACGAACGTCCCAGAACGCCGTAATCTTTTCGTATGCAGTCACGAATCAAATTGGAACGGATGAGCACTCCACCGTTTGCAATTCAGCGTCTGTTTCGTCCACTGGTTTTGAAGCTGCGATCACTTGGCTAAAAATGATCTTTTATTCGGGTCGTCGCAGCGAATATAGCAGTAATAATTGATTGGGAGGAGCGCCTCTGAACTGCCCACTGAAGCTGGTACGGCGAGCAGCCCCCAAGGGCACGCCAGCACAGTACGGCGAGACACATAGAAAAATTGCAGAAACTAAAAAGCAAAATGTGCTGTAAAAATGCCAGTGGGGGTAAGGGAACAGAGGAAGCAAAAGAACGAAGAGGCACAACGTGAAGAACTGCTGGTAGTTGTGTGCGCTCAAGACGCAGCTCATTCAGGTGGCAATCCCGACATTCACTGTGGCAAAAATATACGCAGTAACTCGCAACTCCTCTTTCAATGGCTGGTAAAGCAGTATCTGCTTCGCGAAACTGCTTGGTTTCACTAGATTCCATCTTCGGAGATGCCTACGCAACGGGAGACCACGGGCGGCTGCCGGACCATGCTGCAGCCCTGGTGGAATGAAGTCCAGTTTACTGAGCAGCATTTAAACTTCCCACTGAAATGTCTTCAAAATGCTTTGAATAAGGTGTAACTGTCCCTGAAGGCAGATGCCTCGGGCTCTTTTGAAGCAAACAAAGCATACTTACGCCATTAGCGTTGGACTGGACTGGACACGCTGTAGGGCGTGCTGCAGTTAAGCTGCGTCAGCCTTCGGCAGCAAAACCTAAAATCCAAAGTAAATCAAGAATTTCGAGCAGCTAGCCGCTGCTAATACCCTGGGTAGTCGACGTCAAAGGATGCCCAGTCTTAGGCCATTTATTTGCACGCACGAAGGGCCGTTGCGTTCCTCCTCCCCTACGACAGGACCAAAAAGATCTCAGTGCTATCTTAATGTAGTCACTTAATATCTCACATTGTATTCTAGTTGTTCTTTTCAGTACGCAAGACAGTCTGTCTGTTAAATGGCCGCCACACAGCAGACTGAGGTTTCCACAGCCTACAGGTCTGCGCTCTTTATAGCCGCGATCTCAGTTCCAGTTCTCACGCTTTGAAGCATGCATAGGCACTCCTTGCACGTAATTTTATATGAGTTCGCTTGCTTTTTAATGACAAAAAACCCGTGGATATTCGCGCAAACACTGCATTCGGAGAGCAGCCAACCTTTTCGGGAATTTTCGGCTGCCTGAGTTTAAAACTGTGCAGTCGGAAAGAACCCAGCATGAACCTCGTAACACTGTCAAGTAAACAGAACAAGTAAAAGCAAAGGAACTGCAGCTTGGAGTGGAGGGTGCCTACAGCTGTTTAACTTGAGAACAGACAACCGGACTCCATGGTGCTCACTCAGGGTAGGCTACCGCGGCATCCGCGTGTTTCCAGTATAGTGGCATGCAAGCCTCATGAATTTTTACATAACAAAATGGGCAGAAATCTGTGTGGGAATGAGGTGGATGCCTAACCAAACAAGAGCAGCACGTTTTGAACTCCTGCAAAATAGCAACAAGATCAGAGACTCGCACAAAGTCACTCTTCTTCATAGAAAGATACAGGTGGCTACATAACCACCAGTATCTTTCTATGAAGAAATGTGACTCAACTAAATTTACATTAAGCATATTGCATCTCAATCTGAGAATCTAAAACCTCCTCCTAAACCAAAGCGCGAAAAGGAAAGGCAAGCGGAACGATGCGGGCATAACGGCTTTGTATTCCCCGAAGCTTCCAGCGTACTTGGCTGTCCTTGTCTTATAAATGATGGATAGTTTGTTGCGCTTGGAGAGGAGCATCTTGGAGAGTTTGCTGCTCAATAAAACGGGAGACCGTGTCGGCTTGCTACGACTAGTGAATGACCGAGCTACGGCTGCAATGGCCGCAGGCGTCCGTCTAGGATCACTAGCTTTCCTCATTGTTTAACCTTAACTTCCAGTAATTGCCGATTTATATACGGCATCGCCCTCTATATAGTCTGCACTATATGACGGGGCTTGTGGCATCATCCTTAATTTTGTTCCGCATGGCGCCCATTCATATGAGAGAGCTGAAGGCGCTCCTCATTAAGCGAACTGATTGCGCTCGCTCTGTGACTTTAGACTTCACAGCCCATTCTTTCTTCTGATATATATTTTGATCTAAGAGCGTGTACAGCACCTCCCAATCATCCTAATGGCATTTCAAGACTTCGTTTATAGAAAGGATCCAATCAGCTATGCGAGCAGCTGCGACTTTTGAATCCAGTATGCCTCGTGTACACATGACAAAGCTGTTTAGCTTTACAGAGACCGAAACTTCAATAGTGTTGCGTAGCACGCGTTGCTAGTGGGCGTTTTATTTTAAGGCGTTCAACTTAGGAGAGAAAAAACATACTTTGCTGCACATGTTGCTAGACTGAAGTTTGTCAAAAGTTAAGATGCTTTGAATAGTAAGTTGAGCCACCTGACCTGAGAGAACTGCAATAACTGCGGCGACAGTACTGAAATGACTTAGTTCGCAGATGCCTCGTTTCCTATTACAACGACGACTGTTGCCTTTGTGATGATACAAATATTAAATGTACAATGCTGGGACAGTAAGTTCGCATGCCTCGGGTCATTCATTATAGGGTGAAGTTTTGATGCTCACTAAACAGCTGGCTTCCATAAGAAATGCAAGTAAAACATCAATGCTCGGCATTTAATTTACAAAATCATACGAGCGGACTCGCTTTTTTCTTTTCGCAAGTGTACACATGTGTACGTGAAAAAACACAATGTTGTGTATTTTCATCCATTTTTATGAACATGTACACATCTGAACATCAGCGCAGAGACACGCCCTTGCAAAGACGGATACATGTGTGTACTGGTAAATCGCTGCTGGTTGTTTTGGGTTTTGCCCTCTATCCACTTTCGGCTTGACTCTTTGTTTCGGTAGTGTTCCCTGCACCGAGCTCCATATATGCTCTTCTTTCAATTTTGAACAGTGTTGAAGGAGAACAGAACGCGAATTGCAGGGTTGAATCAGTCTGTAAGGCTGCTCCTGCCTGCCTTCGACACATAGACTCTGCTCCATTCTGAGGTGTTTCTGTGGAAGCTGGTAGAAGCTACATTCCGCATTCTTCTTTCCGGGCTTTCATCTGTGAGGAGTGTCGTACGACCATATTTCACTAATCCAAATTTTTTCCTTACAGAAGATAAGTGCACAATTCGTTTCCAAAATAGTAGGTGCATCGTGGCACTACGAGGCGTTTACAAATTGGCACTTTATCGTAAACCATAGTTCCTCCTTGCCTTTCTCAGGACTGTGCTGAAACTGAATTACAAGCAATTTCACTCATATTGATGTGAGAAGCCCCAGTGTTGCCGCGCTACTCAAGAATGGATATGTTCCTTCCCTTTGTATCATCTATATTTTTTATAGGAAAAAGAACATCCATTATTGAACAGTTTGAAGAGAGTGAGAAATATCCTAGATGAAAAACACTCCCAACTATCTTTCAAAGGACGTAGTTTGGTACAACTCATCGAGAAAAAAAACTAAAAGAACTGACGTGTGCAGTGCTCTTCATCATGTTTGTAGATGCGTGGTTGAGGAGCTGCTGCTGCTGTAGAGATAAAGCGCCCCTTTTCTTTATCGTTCACGCAATATTTTTTGGAAGGAAAATCGACTTGGGCGTTGCTGATGCAGCGTTTATTTTCGCAACAATTTTGTTCTACTGTGCTGCTCACTTCCCGTTTTGCACCCTTCAGTTATAAAAATCATGGTAGCAATTTAGGGCATCTCCGGCGTTCATTTGCTTCTTTGAATGCAATGCGAAATGAAGCTATATATCACCGCGCTGGATAAGCTTGCGCAACTTCACTCGAAGGTGAAGCTCAGCCATAAAAGTGAAAGAAGTGTCGCTGCGACGTTTCGGTCGACATTTTTCTCGAGCTTTACCTGCTCTGGCGCAGAAGGCGCGTAGTCATTATAGAAACAATAATCAACACTGCTGCGTTGTTAATCGTCGCCCACTTTCAACTCAACATTATTAACGCGAGGGAGAAAAGCGTAGCTGTAATGCCAGGAATTGTGATGGACGCGAAGCCCCGCTGCTGCTTCAGTAGCCCTTCATACACTTCAGCCCTACAAGAAAGCAGAACACAGTGTTTCCTGGATGAGTTCTCTTTCATGCCCATACACATCACAAGCTGCAGCGTCAAAGAACAGGAACGCTGCCAGACTCTTCTGTCGAAAGCATCTCACTTGATTGGTTGTGCTTCGTCCACTGCTAAAGGCTCAATGAAATAACAAAACAAGACATTGCTACCAGCTGCACAGTCAGTAGTGGCGGCACACGACACTTTTCCCGCTTTAGCAGACACTATGGCCACAAGATTTTTTGCCGCTGGATCGTTCAGTGGTGCCGTTCCCAATTTATTGGTTTCAGCCGACGCGTCGTAGTTCTCTCTGCGCAGGAACCCGCAGTAGCCAGATCAGTTGAAACAGTAGTGCGGCCAGATATTGGATGTGAGCAGTGCTTGAATACCGTTGCACAGTAAGTGCGAAACCAAAGAAAATGAAGTGACTCTGCTTCATCATCCACGGAGAACATGGACGAACACTGCACGCCTCAGTGTTCTTTTTAGAAACATGAAGCATTTGAGGAAATTGCAACAAACGGACAGCTTGAGATGGCTCAGTCCTGCACTGAAAGAATCCTTGATCAGAGCCTCGCAGTCAAATTTTGTAGAGTGTTCAAAAGTAATTACAAGTCCAGAATACTGCGCACAAACAACTGCAGATTGCAAACCGTTATGAATGGCGGCTAACAAATGTAGGTGAGCAAGCTCTCGAACGAATCAGTACACAGGGTCTCTTCGGAGTAATTAGTTTCGACAGTTAGTAAAACAAATCATACCTTCGACGTATTCGCATTCGTTGCTTCACAATTGTCTTTGTTTTCCCCCGCGAGCTCCTTTGCGATTTCGGTGACGCTAGTTTTGACATCACTCTGTGAAGGAGAAAGACTTGTGCTAACATCTTCACTACTTGCTATAACGAGATCGTTCAACAATCCGTCTAGCCCTTCCGTCCGCAAGGCATTAAGAACGGGCAAGCATGCTGAATAAGGGCAGAGAACACACGTCATGCGTACGGCGGATGGTGCTACATGCAAACACTAATTAATAGCTAAATAATCCTAATCAGTCAGTCACGCCTACAGTTGTGGTGCCAACAGTTATTAAAACAGCGTACGAATAATTATCATATATAGCTGACTGGAACCGATGATAATACAATCGACGAGTTGTATGAGCGTTCATTGGTGACAGCACTGTTCTATCCATCCCTTGGTAACATTCGTGCCTTCTAGAACTGTTTACAAGGAATATTACCGTTGAGGCGAACTAGTTTGTCATGGACGTTACGTCCACAGTTTCAATTTACCCTCAGTTTTGTCGTCGGCAGCAGGCGCTGTTCCCAGTAGCAAGGGAAGGCACTTCTATGCTTAGGTTTTTTTGTGAGGGTTAACCACAGCAGAGCGAATGGGAACTGCTGCTGCGAAGTCCGGTGCCGCTGCTCCAGCTAGAAGACCAGCGCAGCACGCCAACAGGCCAAGTCGAGGCATTGAGGACGAAAAGCATAGGGACCAGAGGGATCAAAAGGAACAAAATAGACAAACACACACAGGTCAACAAACGACAGGATAACAAAGTTGACAAATTCCTGAAACGGATGCGTGCGTGCAACGGGCAGGGAAGTGCTCATCGACGTGACAATCTCACCTTACAGGTAGACCACGGCGTGCTCCCACCATCCGAGCTAGGATGAGGCAATCTTTGACAAAGTATTCAAATTTATATAGCTTCAACAGAAAATGTTTGGAGAGCTGAGTGCGTAGGCTTCCACTGGTCTGTTGAAGTGAGCGACTACTCGATTAATTAATGCCTGCCTTGGAACTGTTCGTGTGTGCGTTCACCTGTCGCTCACCCGCATAAGGAGCTGCGGGAAAGTAAAAGATGCCCCCTTTTGTTATGTTACGAGAGGAATATCTCTGCCAACTCCTCATTTTACGTTTCTTTTGCCCGAGATGCCCTGTAGGCCAGCAGTGGGTAGCTTGAGAGACCCCGCAGCCCTCCGGCTGGTTGGATCTCGTACACGTTGAGACAAGCCAAATACACACACCGGCGTTATACTGTTGACATATCTTGCCACTAATGTCCACATCTCTTCGTACGTAATCACAAATCAAACTGCAGCGGGATCTGCGTCGGCACTGTTGCACTGTTTGCAACTCATCCTCAGTTTCGTCTCCTCGCTTAGTAGCTGCGGTTGCCTGGTCAAATAGTGATCTCGCATTCAGATTTTTGTGTTGAGTATTAATAGTGATCTTCCATCCAGGATGTTGCAGTGAGCGTACAACACACACAAATTGAGTAGTCAGTGTCTGTGACAACTACCCGGTGAAGTTGATACAGTGAGCAGTTCCCTACAGCACGCCAGCAAACTACGGCGAGAAATGCTGGAAAATTGAGGGAAATAAAACGCGAAGAATTCTAGGGAAATGCCTGGGGGACTAAGAGAACAAAGGCAGCAAAAGAACGGAAAGGGAAAACATGGAGGAGCTGCTAGTCGTTTGCGCTATAGACGCAACTCATCGAGATGACAATCCCGACACTCATTGTGGCAAGAGCATGCACATGAGCCCACCCCTGCTTTTTCAAATGCTGGTAAAGCAATATGTGCTTTGCGTGACTGCTTTGTACCGCCAGGTTCCACCTTCGGACATGCTTATGCCACGGGTTACCAGGAGCGGAGGCCGGACCATGCTGCAGCCCTTGTGGCATAAAGTCTAGCTCACCGAGCCGCATTTAAAATTCCCGTTGAAATGCTTTCAAAATGTTTCTAATAAGGTAGAGTTATTCCTGAATGCAGATGCTTTGGGTTCTGTATAAGGAAACAAAGCAAATCTACGCCATTAGCGTTGGACTGGACCGGGCAAGCTGTAGGACATGCTGCAGTTAAGCTGCATCAGCATTCATCTGTAAAACATAACGGATAAAGTAAATCAAGATTTGCATGCAACTAGCAGCTGCCAATACCGTAGGCACTCAACGTTTCAAACGATGCCCACTTGTCGCAACTGTCCCTATGGCCTGACTGAAAAAAATTGCCCACAAGTTATATATTCTGGTTACCTGCTTCAGCAGGCATGGTTGTCTGTCACGATGCTGGCCACTACTCAGCACACTGAAACCTGCGCCGCCTACAGAGCTACGCTCACAACAGTGGTGGCCTCAATTCCAACACTCACATTTTGAACTATTCGTGCGGATTCTTGCATTTGATATTCTTTGTGCTTGCCTCTTTTAAAGTGGCCAAAAATTTGAATTATTTTCTATGGCACCGCGTTCGTTGGGGGAGCCAGCCTTTGATATTGGAGCTTTCGGCTGCTGGAGCCCGAATGTGCAATGGCAAGGGCCGTAACGTGAGTTTCGTAGCACGTTCGAGTAAAAAATAGGCAAAGAAAGTGGAACTCGGAGTCAGGAGTGCCCACAGCAATTTAATTCGAGAACAGGCACGCGCACTCCGTGCCCACTTAGGCTAGACTACCGCAGCGCATAGGCGTTCTCCAATATAGCGGCGTGCAAACCTCATATTTTTTCTTTCAAATAAGATGAGCTGAAATATTCTATGGAATGAAGTGGGTGTCTAGTCAAAGGAAGGTAGCATTTAGAAGCAATGAGAAATTGTTATTGGAGTAGGGACACGCGTAAAAGGTTATATAACCACCTGAAGCTTTCTATGAAGAAATGTGACTTGACGAAATACATATTAGGCAAGCTGCCCCTTAATTTGAGATTCTAAAGCCTCCGCCTAGAAGAAACTCCGAAGAGAAAGAGCAAACAAAGTCCCTTTTGCATCTCGACTTTGCGTGCACCGAAGCCTTTACTATGCTCGGCTGCTTCTGTCTCATGAACGATGGGTAGCATCCTGGACATGGTAAGGATCATCTTGAAGAGTTTGCTGCTCAATAAATGGTATATCGTGTTGGCTTGCTCAGCCCATTGCCCTTCTAGATGCCAGTGAATGGCCGGCTTACGGTTGCGAGGGTAGCATGCTCCTGCCTGTCATCACCTTAAGGCTCCTTCTAAATTTAACTGAGCTGATTTCCGAACCGTATATTGCATGCGTCAAAAGAACTTCAATGCGCCTTTTGTTTGAAGTGTTAGAAAAACATTGGTATGTGCGCTTGCAAGATGTAAATTCATGTCGCAAATAAACCTAAATTTAAAAGATGAGCATTTAACGCTTTCAAAGCGGCAGAAAAGAAGAAAGCGCGCATCAGCTTAAGAAGATGCTGTACGGCTGTATGTACCCGCACTGCGAATCAACGCTTGAAGCGTGCCTACGTCGCCAGCAGGCTGAAATGATGCACAGCAGAGCGGACACACCAGTGCAGAACGGACAGAAGCGAGACCTGCAACGGAAGTTGGATCTGACGGTCGCTAGAATGGAGCCTTATTTGTTTTGGCCTTTCAGAAAGCTTGTCGTCAAGTTCCACGACGTTGTCACGTAGTTTGCTGCATGTAGCCGATAGGAAACAACAGAGTCAGGACAGAGGAAAGCAGGCGATAAAAGTAGAGGGAAAATAGAAAGGACAGGATGTACCTAAAGACAGGAAAAAAGGAAGCAGGGGGCGGAGAGTGACAGGAAACACAAAGGCACGGGATACAAAAGGGACAGGAAGGAAGGAGAGACAGGCAAGGCAATGAGATAGTAAAGGACAAGCGAAGAACCAGAAGACATCGCACGGCAGGAAACAACTAAAGACAAGAGACTGAAGGAGAAAGCAAGCAGAAAGAGGCAAACGGCGAATTATAACAGGGGACAAAAAAGATACAGAAGGTAGCAATGACTGGAGAAACAGAGTGCTGGCAAACACGAAAGGACGAGAGATGGGGTGAGGTATAAGGACAAAGCATCATGAGAGGGAGAGCAATTAGGAAGGGAAAAAGTTACAAAGGCCCTCGAACGAGGCGACGAACATAAGCAGAAAGCTTGTAGCTCTAATGCGACGTAAAGCGATGTACCTCCATAAGAGCTGTGATCAGTAAACTCTAGTTTACAAAACAAAAATGCAGAGCCTACACCAACGGTCGCAGCTTCTCCGCAGCTTTTACTGAGTTGGTTTGGGCTAGCTAAATTGCTTTTGCAACGTTGGAGAGCTCGCGATTGCTTCTGGACAATGCCAACACTTGGAGCAAACGGGTGCTGCACATTACGGCAGTAGCCGCATGAATACATACAAGTGGAAAATCTCCATAGTAAAGGACGGCAGAGCGAAATACGAGCTAGGAGACCTATCGCTGCAGATCAAGATTTTACTAATATTTTCCAGTTCTCCCACGTCAGAGGGCTTCAAAATAAAAATTTCAAAGTACTTTTGTCCTTGGCGAACTTCAGGGCAGCAGCGAATACAGCAAAGCATATTCTTCGTCTCACAGCCAAGTACTCCTAATAAACTGAATCTAGACTTATTACTACTGTGGTTGGAGTGCGCTTTGCTAGTTACTACTTCATAATACATTTCAGAAGTGGTATTTGGCTGCGAAGTCTAAAGCCGCACAGCGAGTGCAGTCGGTTTGCTCACTCATGAGCAGCGCCTTTAGCGGTGTCACATGAAAGGCTCGATATGAGCGAGGTTAGCGATGACGAACCTGGGTACTTCATATGGTGCAAGTTACGAAGGAGTGCTACGATGCAGTGGGAACAGGAAAGTAGGATGCGCCCACGGTGTCCAAAGATCCTCCTTATCAACTAGGCAGCAATGAAGCTCATAAGCCAGCCTGTAAATGACTCAGGAGTGCCATTCCGGGAAATTTGACAACTTTGACATCTCCAACAGCTGCTTTGCAGTTTGCTCGTCGAGCCAAACTCAGAAGGGTCAAAGAGAGGGACAAAAAACGGTGACAACGCTGGGAGCCCACATGAGCGCTGCGCCCGACTCCACTTCCCAGAGAGCATTGTTAAGTTCATTTCTGAAAATCACACGAATCAATTGCCGTTGTTTGGTCTTGAGGTTCCTATTGTGCAGAGAATCATGCATTTATGCTGGAAGATACTGGTAGCTATGCTGTTGTCGACTGAGCGCGCGGGTGGTTTAACACTTACGTGAACGGCGCATCTCCACTTAGCGGCCTTATGTAGTAGCAGAATAAGACATTACTGGCTGCTGCACAGTCTTTGGTGGCGGCACATGAAACCTCCGTGCTTGAGACATTACTGGCCGCTGCATTATTAAATGGAGCCTGTGTAACGTCGTATGTGCCTGTTGACCGGTCGAAGCTGGACCTGCGGAATGAAGACCCTAGTAGTCAAAGCAGAACGGATGAAAGGCAAGACCAACTCGTAGGCAGATGCAGATGCGGAAAAACAGGACGACCACAAAGGTGAATAAGTGTTGCAATATTAAGCATGTTCATGTAAAAGCAGAACTGTGACACAAGTGCAAACGGGAACCGATGATGATATTGGTCAAGGAAAACGAAATGGAATCAGCGGCTGAATCTTTGAGGTGGCTGAGTTCAGCTGTGTAAGTAGCCCGGATCAAAGCGCCGCAGTCGAATTTCGTACCGTGCGCGAATGGAATTACGAGTCCGGGATACTACAGAGCAACGCCATGACAAACGTACTATATATCCCTTGAACAAGCGACAAAAATTGCACTTTGAGCTGGGCTGTTTACAGATGCAGTTGTAGGGGACTGTGAATTAAGTCAGTGCTATACTGTTCTGCTGGCGCAAAAGCCGTACCGTTCACGCATTTGCATTTCTTGCTCAGCTACACGTAGCTGAATCTTCACGCGAGAGCTTTTCTGCGACGTTTATAGCAGTTGTGCTTTCCGGATCCTTCTTTTGGATTTTATCGAAGCTTTCAGCCAACTCATTTTCTTTCGCCTTGGTGAGGGCTCCCGGCAGGTCCTTGAGGCCTTGAGTTCTCACGGTTTTTATGGTGGAAAGGCATTCTTGAAATGGTCACGTAACACAAGTTGAGTGGAAATGCAGCTATCTTTTCGCAAAGGCTTGCAGTGGGTTGTCCAGTAGTCATCTAATGCGCATATGGGCAGACTTGTACTGAAGTGCCACTGGGAGATTATAACACCAAAAGCACTTGTGAAAAAACTGCACTGGAGCGCATTGCGGCCGTCATAATGTGTAAGCATAAACCCAGTAGACCCGTATATCTCCACAAATCAAACTATGGATGGGGGTATCTGAGCAACATTCACTTGTCTTCCGCATCTATGGTTCACCATTAGTTTTGTCTTCGTCTCTGGGCGGCGTCTGCTCAACAGACACAAGTAATTTTGAGCTAGGACGATTTTCCTGAGAGCCTGCTGCGGCAAAGAGAGCGGAATGCGCCACTGAGAACTCTGGCGCTGCAGCACGTCAGCATAGCAAGCCAGCAAACATGCACGAGTCACCGTGGAGAAGTCGGATTGCTAGCAAGTAAAATAGATAACACGAAACCCAATGAAAAAGCACGAGAAGAGAAAAGGGGAATGAAATAGTGGATGAAGGCCTGTACGATCTCTTAGTACCGGCTGTTGATTGCATTACTGGAATTCATGATGCACTCAAGTAGGTAAGACCTGTATGACGTCTCGATCCCCACGTCAAACCATCCAAGAAATTGCTTCAACTTTTCCATAAACTCTATATGCCTTTGAAATTAAAGTGTTTAAGTGCCTTATTACTCTGTGGTACCGTATTTCTTCTTTTTCAGAGCTGCACTGCACACGAGTCGGCGAAGGCCCAGCCACGCTGTCTACACACCATCCAAAATAGAACCCAAAAAATTCGTACATGAGGCAGTTCCAATCCTAAAGCATTAAAAATGTGAACTAGCTTTTGCGGGAAGGATTTTTGAATGTAATGATGGGAAATAAGACGCCGTTCGTGGCAGCGAGTTTCGTTCCAGGTCAACTTGTCACGCAAGTATACTATGAAGTTGCAGAGATCCGTAGGATGCCTCGACCCCAATATCAAATAACCTAGTGACTTGCTTCAACACTTCCACAAATTTTATGGGCCTTTAGAATTAAAATTTTTGAGCTTTTTTTTACCTCGGGGCAGCCTATTTCTTCGTTCTGAGAGGCGTCTATGCCTCATGCAGACCCCTCAGACGGCCTAGCAAGGCCGTCGACACACCATCCAAAATGGGGCGAAGAAAATTAAAACATGGGACACTTCTACTTAGAAAGCATTAAAGTATGAATTGCGTCTTACCGAAAGGTATTTCTAGTCTAATGATGAGAAATAAGATGCTACTCATGACAAGGTTGAGGTCACGGCGTTCTGTGGGCAGCCGGTGACCTGCATCCTCACGAGCCCCCAACGGCAAAATTTGTGATTCAGCTGAATATAACTGCTTACTATTTAATCAAAACATGCCCAGGCAGGATAGAGAAGCCACGCCCGCTGCCCATGCTGCCGCTTCTTCATGCGGATGTTCCAATCAAAGAATCTCGGCAGTTTTCCAACCAATAGTTTCTCTGCCCCTTGGATAGACAAATATCTGAGAAGGTCCATTTCACATTGGCCTTTGCTTCCGTCTGCATAGCAGGCTGGCCGTCGCCTCGTCAAACGCATCACAGCTCAGCCATTGTAATGCCTCCATATGTTGTTACTTGCGTGAGTTTATTGGAAATCCTGCATTGTTTACGCTCGAGTCAGTGACGTACTCGACAAAGCCAACTTTGCTGAGTGGACTTGGTTCGCACGTGCCTCGTTTCCAACCGCAGAGCGGCATGTTGGTTTTTGTGAGGATGCCAGTGTTAAACGCACAGTACGCGCAGTACAGGAGCAATAAATCCAGAAGCAGGTAAAAGGCTCTTACGACATAGAAAATTACAAGACGGAGGGCATCGCTTTGAGCGTTTATGACAGATTAGCTGAAGTCGACTTTCATGCAGGTCCATTCAACTGCCTTCAACACCTGCCAAGTTAGCCGGAAGCAATGCTATGTTCAGACGAAATGACTCTCTTTACATTTCACACTCCATGCACATGTGTACTAAAGCGATACTCCTGTGAGCTTGCTACCGGAAACATTGAGCACGACCAGCAAAAGGAAAGGAACCACGCACTGCCAAACATAGCAGTGCTTGGTTCCTCAGCATTTCCCTTGGTGGATTAAAGCATTTCAAGTAAGGTTCTAATAGAAGCTAAGTGGAACTGCAAAAGTTAGGATGAGAAGTTGAACCAGGGGCCCGTACAATCTATCCATCCTTTGATATTGCGAGCTTTGCTCTCCAATTACTATGCTCACCACACACCCTTCGCAGTGTGCAGGCTCCTAGCTTATCTTGGCTGGCCTTTGCAACCACAACGCGTCTGGGAGACTCACTGCTGTTTGAAAGCAGTGTACCTTGATAAAATCTGAAATTTTCGTTGTCGCTGGAATTACACAGTGCACTTGATTCCCCGCATTTATGAGGCAAGCTGGCACCATCCATGAAAAGAGGACAGCTCAACACTGGGGAACTGTTTAACAAATCTTACATAATGGGCATCTACTACACTTAACTTGCGGACCTTAGGAAACGCACTACGTAGTTAAAGTTTGGATGCCTACTAAACTGTGATCTTGGACTGGAAATGCAGGCCCCCACTCGTCAAAACTCGGCATTTTATTCGCTAATTCATGCGCGTGCAGATCATGAGAAAGTTCACTTTCATATACCCAAATGCGTGCAGTAATATCTATACATTTGTGTATACAACAATATATAATCATTCTCTGCCTACTGATTCGTCAATGTTTTATTCATGCTTTCTTACTCTTCTCTCCGGGGCTTCCTCTCTGTTCTGAAAGTATCGACTTTAGAAGCTAGCTTAGCATAACATGAATACAGTTATTCTGGATTTGATATAAACTCCAGCACAACAGTGACACGCACGGAAAAGTCTAATTCTCTTCCCTACTACTGCCCTCACTTTCAAAATTTTAAGCCGCTTCACGCTGTGCCATTTTTGTTGCAGATGTTTGTGAGTTGGTCATGACTTCTCCTGGTGCACCCTTCCTTCAATTTTGTGTTTGGAAGATGTGCCCCGAGTTGCATTTGCAACTTAAGCGATTATCTGTAAACTGCGATGCTGCATTTGTCGTTGACACGTTGCTACGGAGGAGCTGGAGGTCGTTTGAAAGTGTAGAACACTGCAGATAGGATTTGTCGTTTCCACAAACTAAGCCCCAGAATGCATCAGCCTTTCAAATGCAGAACCCCGCGATCGTGCTTTACTGTTTGCGGTTTCATCAAGCCATAAACTTTTATTTCCTTTAATGAATAAATGTGGAACTATGGCCTAAAGTTTTTGATATTGATGTGTACAACTTGTCACAATGCTTGTGATGATGCTTCTTCATATTGTTCAGTGCACAAGGAATGATATTAATTTAACCTTTATATTTAAACGTTGATTCCTTTGCCTTGCTTTTTTGCCAAGCACTCCCAATCTATTCCAGAGTGTTGGATTCAATTATGTACGGGTTGCTTTCTCCTTAGCAGGACAAATTTCGGGACAGCAAGGAGGAATGTAAAAGTTAATTTTAGAAGCTGGCAGTTTATTCTATTTGAAAACAAAGATTGGAATGCTTTAACTATGTACGGGTTACCTTCTCCTTAGCAGGACAGATTTCGGGACAGAAAGGAGGAATGGAAGTTAGTGTTAAAATTTGACAGTTTCTCCGATTTGAAAACAAAGACTGAAATGGATTCTCAAAGATAATGTATCGTGATACTGAGGATACCGAATGGCGTCGCTTTCCTTGGTATTCTTCACGAGTCGCTGTTGCTTTCTGTAGACATAAGACGATCCCCTTCTTCCTCTTTCTCAGAGACAAATTGACTGAGAAGTGCAATTGCAGCGTTCAATTTGCAGAGGCAAATTAAATCCGTCCCATCACCAACATTTCCAACGTTCCTTTGATTCTTTTATTAATGGCTAGGTGAGGTGAAACTGTATATCACCGTGCAGGATATCCCTGCACCGCTCCACTCGAGGATGAAGTTCAGTCGACAGAAAGGAGGAAACCATTACAGCAATGCTTCGATCGACACTCTTCTGGGTTCGCCTGCTCTGACGTGGAAGACGTCACCCAATTGTTCAAAGTGGCAATCAGCACTGCTGCGTTACCACTTATTAGCCGTTATTAACTCAAGACTGCCAAGGTGAGAGTAAAAAGCGCAGCCGTAATGCCAGGAGGTGGAATGTACGCCGAGCCGTGCTGTCGCCTCAGGAGTGCCTCATATACTTCAGCCCTGCAAAATACTCGCCCACAGTTCTAGCCAAAAGTTGACTTCGTCTTGCGCCCATATAGTTCTGATGACAGTACATAAGACCTCAAGATGTTTGTTTGAGCAGTTTTCTCATTAAGAAAAGCATGAGCCAGCTGCAGGAGAAAAGCTCACTTGATCGGCTGCAGTTCCTCCAAAGCCAGGGGCTGTATGAAATAGCAAAACAAGACATTGCTACCAGCTTCGCATTCTGCAGTTGCAGCACATGATACCTTCTCCGCTTTAGTAGACACTATGGCCGCAAGATTTTTGGCCGCCAGATTGTCCCATGGAGCCTCGCCCAGCTTGGTGCTATCAGCCGATGCGTCGTAGTTCTGCCTGCGCGAAGAAGCCCGCAATAGCAAGGTCAAAGAAGTTCAAACATTCCAGTCAAATGGTGGATGTGGTGAAAGTAGCACGAAATGCCAAAATCTTTGGATAGTGAGTGCGGAGTAATAACAACACAAGTCACTGTGCACCACCACCATGAGCAGATCCTCTCTTTTGCAAAAAAATGAAGCAGTTTCTCGTGCGAAAAACTGAAGCAAACGGACTGTTGCAGATGGCTCAATCCTGCAGTGAAGGATGCACTGATCAAAGCTTCGCAGTCGGACTTCGTGGAGTGATCAAAAGTAATGACAAATCCAGAATACTGCGCACGAACAGTAGGACAACAAGCAACAGCAAACGACTATAACAGATAACCATATTGTGGGGCTAGAAGCACTACGTTGACGCGGTAGGCACAAGCATACACCATACAAGTATAGGCGTTTAAGCTCCTAATGAATCTGTGCGCAAGGGCCATATTGAGTATTTTTCACAAAGTTTGGCACAGTGAGCCTTACTGGCGACTTATTTGCAGCCTTTGCGTCACATGCTGATTTGTCGCCCCCCGAAAGTTCTTGTGCGATTTCAATGACACTAGTTTTATCCCCGCTTCTCGCTTCAGGCTGGAGACTTTTGAGAACTTCGTCATCGCTTACTGTGGCGAGTTCGTTCAGCAACCCATTCAGGCCTTCCCTCCTCAGAGAGTGTAGAACGAGCAAACACGCTGAATACGAGCAGATAACGCAATCCACGTTTAAGGTGGATAAAGCTATCTGCAGCTGATTGAGCACGACGGCACCCAAGCCGCTTTTTGGAGCGACTGCGCGTAAACAAGATGCCCTGAAGCTAGCTGACCAGGAGTACGACTGCAGAAAAGTACACTACACTAGTAGAATGATAGCATGATAGCATTCTGGACTACAAAGAAGACTGCAATTGAGGCTAGCTTGTTTGTCGTTGTCTTCAACCCTCTACCTTCAGTTTGGTCTTTGGCCGCGGGCGGGGTTTTGTCTTGAGCGAAAGAAGGTTGTATTGTGTCTATGCTCCTGTGGTGGGGGTTGACAACAGCAGAGCGAAGGGGAATTGCTGTTGAAAAGCCCGGTGCCGCCGGCCCGACGAGTAGCCCAGCTTAGCACGTCAACAGGCGAACTTGAGACATTGAGAAAAACCATGAGAGCCCGATGGGCCAACAGGGACAAAATGAATAAGAACACACAAGCCAACAAACAAAAATTAATAGAAGTGTCCAAATTTTGATCAATGAATGCATTCGTGCAATGGACAATTGCGTGCTCGCGCCGTCGATCCTACCTCCCAGCTAGGGAATGATGCGTTTTCACCAACTTCAATATCATGATATAATCTGTTATATTGAACGCTCGAATTTTTGTAGCTTCAACGGAATTTTTTAAAAATCAATTGCCTAGACTTCATTGGTTCCCTGAAATTATCTGGCTGCTCAATCGTTACTATGACTGTGTGTGCGTGCTCATCCGCTGCTCACCCGCAGTACAAATTTCAGACTGCAGGAGAAAGTTTGAAGACTTGTACATAAGACGTTTCTCTTTTTTCTCTATTTTGCTATTCGTCTGCACGAGGAGTGTACTGAGTGAAGTGAGCAATCTGCTGTTGCCTGAGAGACCCGAAATCTCCAGCCTGGTAGGATCTGCCACATGGGTGCCAAGTAGCTTGTGTGCCTGTATCTTCTTCCGAAAGCAATAATTAATAGAATATTTATATTACCTCAGCTTATTTCGACCTATCCGCGACAGTTGTGGGCTTTTTTCATTGGTGAAGTGAGCATTTTCATCAAGATATAGCATCTAGAGAAAAAGCATGCTGCTAATTCTAATGACTCCTGTCGTGGTTAGAAAAGGTTAAGCACCTGAAACACATCTAGATAAACTGCAAATATGAATATATCGTACATGATTGAATAGTTAGGCAATGTTCCAGTCACCTTTGGACGTGTTCTTCACGAATTCACATGAAGGGAAGCACCGTCCGCGTGAGGCGCTGCTAGTACTGTAAACAAAGAGCGCCTTAATTGTTTCTCTCTTGCTTCAGAAAGAATATCGACTGGTACGTACAGTCTCAACGCTTGACTCCGCACAAGATACATTCACCTAATAAAAAGTATCCTGTGGTTTATCAGTTATTGAACGCAATGCACAGCGAAGCAATGTACCACGGCGCAGGATGTACGTTTTCCTTCCTTGTGCAGCTTCACTCAAGATCTCGAAATTCAGTGAGAACAAACAAGTAAAGAGGCCGCTGTGGCACTTTGTTTGACGCCCTTCGCGAAATTCAACTCAACAGAATTAACGCGAGCGAGAAAAGCATAGCTGTAATGCCAGGAACTGCGATTGACGCTGAGCCCCGCTGCCGCTTCAACAAAGCCTCGTACACATTAGCGCTGCAAAAAGTAACACACAGTATTCGGCTTCAGTGCGCTCGAAAGCTTCAATATATTAGTTCTGATCACGCTTTTTACAACTGCAAGGTGGTGAGATGCGGTTTTTCCTGTTGAAAAAGCGATGCGTCTGGCTTTTGCAATGCTCAAAAACTCACTCAATTGGCTGCGCCTGTTCCTTTTCCAAAGGCTGTATGAAATAACAAAAAAGAACATTTTTACCAGCTACACAGTCTGTAGTGGCAGCACATTCCACTTTTTCCGCCTTGGTGGACACTATGGCCGCAAGATTTTTTGCTGCTATGTTATCCAATGGAGGCGTGCCCAATATACTCTCATCAGCGGTCGCGTTGTAGTCCGCCCTGATCAAGAAAAAAGCAATTCTCAGATCGAAGGAGTCGGCTCAAGAGTGCAGGCAAACAGTAGAAGTGATGGAAACACATACATGACTACCTTCTGATAGGGTGTCGGATCTAGAAAAAGGAGCTGTGCGCCGCTGTTCATGTGTGTTTTGATTATGACACATGCAAGGCATTATGCTTCAGTGAAAGTGCATGAAAAATGGATCATCCGATTAGATTAGAAAACTGAAGCAAACAGACTTTTGGAGATGGTCCAGTCCTGCAGTGAAAGACGCATTGATGAGAGCCTCGCAATCAAAGGTCTTCGAAACATCAAAAGTAATCACAAGTCCAGCATACTGCGCACAAACAACAGGGCACCAACTACTATTGGCAGATGCTGGTACTGGGGGGGCTGGAATCGCCTGGCTTGTGCAGTAGACAATGCATTTAAGATATTTTACTATTTGTAAATTGGTGGCGAGGACCATACCTGAGACTGATTCGCATTTGTTGCATCACATGATTCTTTGTTGGTCCCTGCAAGTTCTGATGCGATTTGAATGGTAGTTTTACCGGACCTCGCTAGAGGCTGTATTTGACTAGCTTCACCATCGCCTGCTTCAACCAGTCCCTTCAGCAACCCATTCAGTCCCTCCGTTCGCAAGGCATTCAGGATGGGCAAGCACTCTGAATAGCGGCAAATAACACGCAGACTATTAAATGCCTCGACCCAGCATGGGTAAGCACTCTGAATAGGGGCAAGTAACACACAGACCATTAAATGCCTCGACCCAGCATGCATGCCTACGTCACAGCCATGTTGCGTGTCGGAACTGTGTGTGCAGAAACTGCCCATTTCCTGTCGTATTCCAGCAAGCAAATTTGATGGCTTTTTCTCATGTACACTGAATCGAAGATGCTTACAAGAAAATAGAGGCTAGCTAGCCTATTATCGGCGTCATACCCACACCCCCAATGTACCTGTAGTTTTCTTTGAAGCGGAAGGCGCTGTTGCTACTTGTGCGAGGGAAGATCCTTCAGTGTCTAGGATCTTGTGGTGCGGGTTAACAGCGGCAGAGCGGATGGGAACTGCTGTTGAAAAGTCCGGTGCCGCCGCTCCAGCGAAGAGTCCAGCGTAGCACGCCAACAGGCCAAGTCGAGACATTGCGGAAAAACACAGAAAGCAAAGGGACAACAGGAACAAAGTGGGCGAGCACACCCGGGTCAACAAAAAAAATTGAAATGCTGGGAAAAATGCGTGTGTACGATGAGAAACTCAGGGCTCATCGACGTGACAGTCCCAGCTGCCAGCTAGAGCATGGTGCTGTTTCACCACCTGAGTTGCGACGAGCTAAGCTGTCTTAGAATTCTGCTTTGTGAAGCTTCAACAGAACATGCTTTAGGATATAAATGTCTAGGTTTTTAATGGTCTGTTGAAGTGCGCGGTTATTCCACTAGTGACTACGTGCTGCCGAGATGCTTGTGTGTGTGTGTTGATCTGTCGCGCGCCCGCATTACGAGCTGCGGAACGTGAACCAAGCCTAATTAAACAATTTAGTGTAATGTGTGGCTCTGCTAATGTATAATTTTACATTTTCTCTGCCCGAGAAGTCTTCTTGGTTAGGTACGCAATGTTTTACGTGTGGGCTAATGCGGTGCCGAATTCCAGAGGCTCGGTGGGATGCACGAAAGACATCACACACACACTGTAGTCTCTTGTGCGACCATGTCATCTCCGTTAGGCTGACAAACAGATAATGTTTTAAATATTTCGCGTCATTTCGGCCGGATCAAGCACTGTTAACGTTTAATTGCCCCGCAGCCTGCGCAAAAGCAGTGTCGTGCAATGTGGTGCTTCTGTGTGCCCCCCCGCAGTGAGTTGGCAGATCCTACAAAAGAGTTTATTTAGAGACACTGGCCGGAATTAATATGATACATATGTGAGCCTGTTGAGTTAATGGGATCAGTCAGGTCTGTTAAGAATAGGTTAGATCCCCATGTGCAGTCGGACTTTGGGGGGAGTGCCCGTTGAAGGACTAACCTTAGCAGATGCTGCAGGCGCTCACAATGCATCATTACAACTCCATTTTTGTGTTATTTTCTGGATTCTGTATGAGTGCGTCGGCAACTTTCTATGGTGAAACGTGCGCTAGGTGAGGTGGCTCCTGTGACAGCATCTGATCGTTTTACAGGTCTCTGACCGCATCTCCCTCTATATTACGACGATGCATTTTATGCTCATTAGACAGTTTTCTTAGATACACACGTTTTTTCATCGTCAAAATGTGAGCAACCTTCGGCCTATGATGCGTGTAAGTGGTGGACCAAAACATTGAAGTACTCACGCATTCGCTGACAGATTCACGGTTAGTGAGGGGCTGCGATAAACTCGCTATATAAACTGAAATTTTTTGCACTTAACAACCTTTCCGCTACTGGTACATGCGCAAGCGTCAAAACAGACCCTGCACGGCTCTATTTTTTCAGTGAGCTGCGACTTGCAGCATAGGTGCCTTTCCCGTATGAAATTCTGGGGATTTTCGCAGAGCACACAGAGCGTCGAGAAAGCCAGAACATGTGTTTGCATTCACTTAGACTTAGAATCCGTGCCGGAAACTGAATGCGATATGCCCTAACTTTCCTTCCTCCAAACAGTTCTAACTTCCTCATTATGCATGTGAACTCTTGTAGACTCCGAAACGGCGTGTATACGCACCTTGTTTAGCCACGCCCGCATATGCACGTGCATGAAAGTCCGTAGATGCACGTTTGCTCACGTGTGCATATGTGTGCATATGTGTGTGTACACATGTTTTTTTTACCTGCATGCCCACGTTGCATATTGGTATGTGCAACTTCCACTCGCATGTCTATTCATGCGTGCATTAACCCTGAAATACTTGTACGTGAAATATGTGTTGCGCGCATGCCCATGGTCTTTTATTGCATACAAGTTTGAGAAGCGTTAACCGTACATTCATTTGGGCGTATGTGAATGTATTGTTCCTTTGGGGTTTCCTTTGAGAGAAAGCGAGGCGCAGCATAAATACACGCCACGTTTACGTCGAATGTACATATGCATGTTTCTTTTCCATTCTATGTTTCAGTACCTCTTCGTCTGCGCTTCGATGTTTCTGACTTTTTACTGCAGAGAAAAAATACAACAACTGGAAGTGCAAGGGAACAAGCAAAAGGATTTTTCTCAGTAATTTAATCTAAGGAACCAAATTATAAGAGGTAGAAAGGAAAAAAAATTGAAGCATGGCCAGCAAAAACTGCAGGCAGCTTCCAATTTGCAAAGGCGCGAACGTTGGAATGAGTTGTAAAGTGTTCCTGAGAGAAAGTTCCAACGTGCTGCTCGCGATTTCACACGAAGTCGGCTTTCGTGGTATCATCTGTGTGAGGCGCTGTCAGCGCTGCAAGCATAAGGCGTCGTTTCTCAGCCTTCTCGAAACATACTTCGGAATGACGAATCGACCGGTAGGTGCAGTTGCAACATTTGAATCTGCACGGCAGATTCAGCGCACTTGGTAAAATTGATTCCCAGTAGTGTTCTATATGAATGAGTCCGTTGCGGAAACGAACCATTCACCCCGGCAAACGGAACCCACCATTATGCAGCTTCACTCAAGGCTAAGTAAGAGCGAAGAGCTGCGATCGCTGAGGTACTTCCTTCAATAGTCTTCATTGTCTTCAACTTAGCATAGCCAGCGCGAGGGACAAAAGCGTAGCTGCAATGGCAGGAATTGTGATCGACGCTGAACCCCGCGGCCGCTTCAACAGCACCTCGTAGACCTCCGCGCTGCAAAAGGTAATAAGCAGTGCTTGGCGTTAGAGTCTGCTCTTTTCTGCTTATGTATGGTCCCGATAAATGGAAAACTGTAAGGCCGTTAATTAGTTCAGATTTCCCCGGTGACAGCAGACATGCATTGGGGTTTTTCAGTGTTGGAAAGCTCACTTGATTGGCTTCTTTGTTTCCTTTTTCAAAGGATTTACGAAATAGCAGAACAAAACATTATTACCAGCTGCACAGTCAGTAGTGGCGGCACACGCCACTTTTTCCGATTCGTCGTAAACTATGGCTGCTAAATTTTGTGCTGCTCGATTGTCCAGCGGGGCCACGCCCAATTGGGAACTTTCAGCCGACGGGTCATAGTTATTCCTGCACAAAAGAGCTGGCAATGATTAGATCGTCGGACTCAGTAGGAAAGCTCGCTGAAATAGCCGAAGTGATTACGACAGAGACACGGCACGCCGAAATCGTTGCACGATAAGTAAGGAACAACAAAAAAGGCAAGTAATTGTGCATCATTGTTCATGGACGCATGGAAATACGCGGCTAGACCTTAGGCTTCAATGGAAATTTCAAAAAAGTGATGTGCCTGTGTAAGATGAGAAAAATCAAGCAAACGGACTCTTCGAGATGGCTCAGGCCTGCATAGAAAGAATCATTAATCAGAGCCTCGCAGTCGAATTCCGTTGAGTGATCAAAAGGAATTACAAGTCCTGGATACTGCGAACAAGCAACATCATCATTAGCCATATGGCACATTTCTGCACTGCGGAATTAGAATCGCCTCGGCCATGCGGTAGGCACACGCTTACAACTACCAGGCAACTACCAGGCAGGAGCTCGCAGCTTATAACTTAGAGGGCGGGGGGCCTTCTCAAATATTGTATGCCAAAGACTTGGCGCCAAAAGCCATACCTTGGAGTCTTTAATAGCTGCTCCATCACATGAAGCTTTGTCGGACCCTGCAAGTTCTGCTGCGATATCTGTGACTTTAGTTTTGCTTTCCGGTAGTAGACCTGTAAGGCTCCCACTGACATCTTGTTCTTCCGCTTTCTTGAGTTCAACCAACACGGCACTGAGACCTTCCGTCCGCAAGCCATTCAGAATGGGTAGGCACGCTGAATAGGGCGAAAGCATATTCCATGTTTCAGCTAGTAAGTAGAGCTGTCTGCAGAAAATAGTGAATGTTCACCATCAAACACCCTTGTCTAAAGTGGTGCTGCTACGTGTTGGGACTGGGCAGAAATAACTTCCCCACACAGTGTACTCTGCCGTCGTTTTCATTTCGGTCAGCTAGGTCCACGGCATTTATGACAGGATTGCATTTGTGAAATCTGATGACATGCATAAGGCTCAACAGCGTCGGCAAGAAACGTCGTAGCCAAGGCTAGCACGTGTGTCATTGGCCATCAAGCCCAATTTACCGTCAGTTTTGTCTTCGGCCGTAGGCGGGTTGCTCTCCTGAGCGAAGGAGGACAATTTCGTGTCCAGGCTCCTTTGGTGCGGGCTAGCTGTGACAAAGCGAATGGGGACTGCTCCTGAAAAGCTGGATGCCGCTACTCCGGCGAGTAGCCCAGCGTAGCACGTGAACAAGCCAAATTGAGGCATTGCGGGAAAATACAGGGACCAAGTGGGTCGACAAGGACAAAATGGGCCACGCACAGGCCAAAAAATGACAGAAAAAAAGCTTACAAACCTCAGGGAACGAGTGCACACGTGCAATGGTCACTAAGTCCTAATCCAGGTGACAATTCCAGCGGCGAGCCAGTGGACGGTGTTGTTCCACGACTTGGTGCCAGATGAGCTAATCTGTCTGCTTGAGTATTTAAATTTATATAATTTCAACGGAGAATGTGAAGAGTTAACAGCTTAGGCTCCCTGTGATCTGCTGAAGCTAGCGATCATTGCGTCAGCTGCTGCATGCTCCTGGTGATGTGTGTGCTTATCTGTCCCTGGCCCATAATTCGAGCTGCGGGCTCCAAAATAGCCTAATTAAGCCACGTTATGTGGGGCCCTTTTCTGTTAACTCCTCTTTTAGTTTTTTTCTGCCCGAGAAGTATTCTGGGCGACGTAAGCAATGCGTGACCTCAGGAACGACTGTACGTCCGGTGCCACTCGCCAGTCACTGGATCTCCAACACGACAAACGTGCGGACCGGCCTTAGCCTGTCGCGCAGCTGCGTGTTTTCCGTAATACTGCGACACATAATATGAATTCTAGCGTTTTCACTTCATTCATACCATCTCAAACAATGTTAATGTTAGATTTCCCAGCATCCTGCGCGGATGCAGCATCTTGCAGTGCCATGCTTCTGTTATGTGCCGCCTGCCAGCAGACCCGGAAAAAAGTACATTTCAAGGCGCTATTAGGAACTGGCATGACGAACCTGTGAGCAGAATGAATTTTTATGATCAGTATAGTTTGTTAGAAGTGAGCCAGACTCCTACGTGTAGTCGAACACTGGGGCCTTCAATGAGCGAGCGTCAACAGAGGTTTCCATCCCCCCCGGTACATCATTACTACACAAATTTTGTGCCATCTTCCGAATTCCTTGTGAATATATCCTCACCTCTACATGATACCTCCATACACGAAGTGGAGGAACCCCAGTGATGGCATCTGTTTGGGCGTAAACTGGCTGTTTTACAGGGTAGGTGCCACATCTCTCACCATTAGGGCTATATCACTCGCTAGAAAATATTCTCAGGCAGACCTAATTGCTCATCGATCAAATGAGTGCACGTTTTGGTCGATGATGTGCGTATGAAGTGGATGATATCATTGAAATGTGCTCACTTTCCTAACCGGCTCACCGTCATGAGGGGTTACAAGCCTTCAGGTTATGAAACAAAGTAAATCCTTCAGGCCACGCTCAGAAGCTTGGGACACGCTACGCCCCCTATTCCTCTGTTCACAACTGTTGTTCAAACTGCTACCCGCTATTGGGTTTTGAACTGGCAGTACTGTGAAGTTCGGTGTTAAGAGAGCTCTACGTTTAGCAGTCCGATCCCCCATTGTTTTCTGCCAGTCTGCCTCATTAACATTCGCTTACCCTTGCTTTAGAGCTTTCATTGTTTATTTTTGGTGGTTTCTTGAATAACTTTATTCTGGCTGGCGCCTCGGGGCAGAAAGGGAATGCGACCCTGTACAGTGCCAACAACCGCCTCCTGAATGCTGAAACCATGCTTGTCAGTGTGTCTTCAATGCACAATGACCGTTTGGAGCTGCAAAAAATGGACTAGAAACTATCCTTAGAAGCTGATAGCTACGAGGCGATGCGGCGAGCCCGTACTGAGACATGCTGGCGGGCAAAAGGTGGTCCATCTGGCAAAAGCATGTGCAGATCGATTCTGGGCTGGAAAGTGTTTGGGAAGGCTCTAGTGCAGACTGGAATTGGCAGCTCCGGGCTTTTTTAAGTATGTGGGATGCCTTGGAGCTGTTGGTGGGTAGGGAAGACGCAAGATGATAGATTTACTACGTCCACAAAGCTCACTGTTCCATGCTTTCTCGCCTTTTTTTGGTCAGTTTAGCAAGACATTATTGCGTTTGTTCTACGAAGGGGTGTGTGACATTTACCAATGGCTAGGATCGATTGATGCAGTATTCAAGACCCGGTAGCGCTTCTCAGACTCTTCAGGGGCTCCCTTCAAGACATTCGCTGTATTTGTTTCATTTGCTTCTGTTCCGTCTACTGTCTCACTTCGCATGTCCCACACAGTAAAATGTTTGTTGTACTTCTATACCAAACTCAACAGTAATTACTAAAGACAAACGCTCTTTGTTCCTTGTACGCATCCCACATCACGTTTATCATGAATTGGACATGTCAGCTTGCTGCTTTTTCCAGTTGTATCAAAGCACAGAGCTGCTCAACACTGGAACATCGCTGTTTTATAGTAACTTCGAAGCTTCCAGCTGAGCGCAGGAGATAAAGCAATTGAGGAAGTGTGTTTGGATTTTCTTGTATTAGGACAAAGTATTCGAGAAGTTCCGTGTGCTTGGAGATATCTTTGTATGAGGATGTGGGAATCTTCCACATGAAAACAGTCTAAGCTTGGTTCAAACGAGGTACTGTTACACAGAAAGGAAAACAAGGGACATCCTTGAAAGCATGCATGTGTGCACGGAGCTCAGCAATCTCGGCGAAATTGTGGAATAGAAATGTCCCAACGGTACGCGTATACGCTTCACCGGAGATAATAAAAGAGAACCAAAATTAATTCTAAAGAAAATTCTTAATGATTAATGTACCCTCAGTCCAACATCACTTTCGAGCCAACGGAATCGGAATTGAGGTGCCGACGCCCAGCGAGTAACCAGAAGAATAAAAGGGAGTGAAGATAGGGAAAAATGAACAACAACAGCTAAAATGTATTCAAATTACACAAGAAACATGTAAAAAAGAATAAAAAATAAATAAAACCGGAAGACAAGCCTCGCGCAGGCGATCAAACCCCACAACTGCATGCGCTGCCTTCTGGTCCTCACCATCACAGCCCCGCCGAATCCAGGTATGTGCGGCGTATAACCGCTTGTAAATGTGTTTGAATTATATCTGTTTTTTGTCCTTTCCCAAGATTGCAACTGCTGTCGGCAGAGGCCTCTCGCCGTAGGCAGTCTTGGGAGCGGCCGCTGCTGCATCTGCAACTGCCAATTTGTCGATTTGCTCTCCCATCTGTACCTCTGCATGCGAAATGGCTCCTCCCACCTCTTCAGAGGACAAGTCCGGGGCCACAGGGGCTGCTGGAGCCCCCTCAGCGGGGGGTTCCTTCGTGCGGCGCGACCAGTTGCTGCAAATAGAAGAAGATGTTCAGAAGCTGTGGGCGCAGGAAAAGCCCTATGAGGTGGATGTCGGTAGGCTGAAGCGTCCCGAGTTCGTGCATGCCTCGGGGGCCCCAGGGGGCCCCGCGACCACGGGGACCCCCGGGGGCCCCCTCGTCAAGAACAAGTTTTTCTGCACGTTTCCTTACCCATACATGAATGGGCTGCTGCACCTGGGCCACGGCTACACCTTATGTCGCGCGGAGTTCCCAGCTCGTTATTTCCGGCTAAGAGGTAAAAATGTGTTGTGGCCTTTTGCGCTGCATTGCACGGGAATGCCAATTCTTGCATGCGCGGACAAACTCAAGAGAGAAATTGAAATGAAAAAGAAACAAGAGCTGCAGGATAAGAAGGCGACTGCAGAGGTGCATTTACAGTAAACCCTAAACCCTTTTCTAATCCCTCTGTGCGGACAGAGAACCCAGCCCTGAGGGTTTAGGGTTTAGGGTCTAGGGTTTAGGGTTTAGGGTTTAGGGTTTTGAGGCCTGAAGCCCAGGGCACATTTATGTTCAGGAGGAACAGGGGCCTTCGGACCCCACAAAGTTCACCAGTGCTAAATCCAAGCTGGTGGCAAAGACCGGAGGTTTGGTGAGGCCCTAAACCCTAAACCCTGAATTTTCTGTCCCTGTCTTCCTATTGAAGCTTGCCGCATGCATGCGTTTGCCGTTTTTGGATTTTAGCATTTCGTGTTCAGGGTTTGTGCGTAAAGGCCCAGCTTCAAACGTTAAGGGTTAAGGGTTTAGGGTTAAGGGTTTAGGGTTTAGGGTTTGGGTACGCAGAAAACCCAGTGGGAGATCATGGCTTCCCTTGGCATTCCTGAGGACAAAATCGCTTGCTTTGCAGACGCAAATTACTGGCTAGACTACTTCCCGCCTAGGTGAGGGTTTGGGGTTTAGGGTTTAGGGTTTAGGTCGCGCACCTATATTAGATTTTAGGGTTCAAGCTGGAGATTCCTGCTGCTGACTTGAGTCGTGGCTGCTGCTCACAGAATCTCCAAGCTTGTCTGAGCCTTCCTATTCGTGTGTGTAGGGTTTAGGGTTTAGGGTTTAGGGTTTTGCGCTGGAATGCCCACGCAGGTGCAAGCGAGACTTGGTGCGTCTGGGCACTGCAGTGGATTGGCGGCGCTGCTTTATAACCACAGACAGAAACCCTTACTATGCAGCTTTTGTCCGCTGGCAGTTCCTCAAGCTCCTGGTAGGCCAAACTCTAAACCCTAAACCCTAAATCCTAATCCATGGCATCTCAGCGGCTCCTCTGGGAGTGTGAGGGCGTCTTCGCCGGCTGCTGTTTATCTCCTGCTGCGCGCTTGGTTGCATGCATCCTATCTCTGCACCAGCCCCCGCTCAGCACTGCCTCAACTGCTGCCGCTGCTGCTGTTGCTGCTGCTGCTGCTGCTGCAGGCTGCGGGGAAGATATCGTTTGGGACGCGCCCCACAGTGATTGGCCGGCGGGAGCTGCAGGCCTGCGCTGACCATGACCGCATGGCTGGGGAAGGTGTGGGGCCCCAGGAGTACACCGTAATAAAGTTGCGAGTGAAGACAGAAGAACTGGATGTTGGCTTCGAGCCCCACGCGCAGCTGCTGCAGCAGTGGCAGCAGCACGCAAACTGCCCTTCTGCAGCGAAGCAAATCTTCCTCGTAGCAGCCACTCTCAGGCCCGAGACCATGTACGGACAAACCAACTGCTACGTGCTTCCCGAAGGAGAGTGAGTCCTGCTGCTGCTGCTGCTGCTGGTGTCGATGCTGCTGCTGATACAACGGCGGTGGCTGCAGGGCTGCAGCAGGGCGTGAGGAGCAACTCATCGTTAGGATGGAGAGTTTAGGGTTTAGGGCCTGGGGGTTTGTTGTTTGCCCAGGTACGGCGTGTATCTTGCTTTTGACAAGTGCCGTGCGAAGTCAGATCCGGAGCAGCAGCAGCAGCAGCAGCAGCAGACGCTGCAGGAGAAGCTAGCAGCAGCAGCAGCAGCGTCGAAAGCTGCGGATACACTCGAACACATTATGACCCGCGAGGATGCGCTTGCGGAATGCAACACAGTTTTTATTTGCTCTCACAGATCAGCCCTCAACATGGCTTACCAGGTGCAAAACCTTTTTTAGGGTTTAGGGTTAAGGGTTTGGGCTGGGCGACTCGCTTTTGACTCGCAGGAACTCAGTGTTGCTCGATTGTCTGGGCTGGCGCTGTGGATGTCTTATGCGCGCTGAGGGTTTAGGGTTTACGCCTAGGGTTTGTGCCCGGCGCGAGCTGAGGGTTTAGGGACGAGGGTTTAGGGTTTAGCGCCCGTGGATTTTGTGGAGTGACCTCTCAGGGGCTGATGCCGCTGGAGTCGATCGGGGATCGATCCCAAGAGCTGCCGCGGCCTCATTGTCTTTTTTCTGTCTCCGGAAAAATGCTTTTGGGGCTGCCCCTCTCTGCTCCTCTTTCAGTCTATCAAACTGTTTACGCCTTGCCCATGCAAACCATATCCCTCGACAAAGGTAAGCAAGCAGCAGCAGCGGCAGCAGCAGCAGTAGCAGCAGCAGCAGCGACAGAGGCACTAGCTGCTGCGGCTTACATGGTGCAAGGGAGGGCGCAGCATGGGCAGCAGCTTACCAGCAGCAGCAGCTGCTGCAGCCGCAGCACGTGCACGCAGCAGACAGGCGATGGCAGTCTCAAAGCCTGAGACAGAGCCTTGAACTCGGCAACCCCAGCAGCAGCAGCAACCGCAGCAACAGCAGCCTCCGCAGCAGCAGCGGCCGCAACAGCAGCAGCGACTGCAGCTGCCGCAGCAAGCAGCTGCAGCTACAGCAGCCACCGCGGTAGCCGCAGCAACATTAGCGACCGCAGCAAAGGCAGTAGCAGGAGCGGCCGCGGGATGCGGAGCAGCCGCAGCAAGAAGCGCGAGCGCCGCAGCAGCAGCAGCAGCAGCGGCAGCGGCAGCAGCAGCAGCGAGGTTGCATCGGTCTTGTTTGCGCAGGAACTGGGGTGGTGACGAGTGTGCCTTCGGACTCGCCGGATGACTTTATTAATTTGGAAACGCTGAAGAACAAAATTGAATTTTTCGCGAAGTCCTTGGGTCTCAAGAAGGAGTGGGTGTTGCCTTTTTCGCCGGTGGAGATAATCGAAGTGCCAGGGTAGGCCAGAAAAGGAAACAGAAATGAATTGGAAACAAAAGATGAATTAAAAATCAAAGAAGAAATGAAAGAGAGAAATTAATCTCAACAAGAAACAGAAGGCCCAAAGGACACAGAGGCACCAGCACCTATTTGTACCTGTGCGAATATGTACTTCAAAAAAATTCACAACTCAACGAGAGTATTAAATAAGTCAACAAACTTGTCAAATATACAGGTCAGAGGATCTATAAAATATACAGGTCAAAAGATGTATAAATACATTAAAAATGCACAAGTCGAAAGATATATAAAACACGCAAGTCTATAAACTTATGAAGTATACAAGTCAATAGGTATACGCAGAATACACGTGTCAAAAGATATGCGAAACATGCATGCCAACACATTTATTAAATCTAAATGTGTATATGTGTGCCCCTTCCTTAACAAAAAGCCACCAGTGCAACTGCAAATGTCTGGGAATAGAATGTGTATTTAGTTTAGAGATGAAGCTGATGCAGCTGCCTCTAGCTCTATGGGAAGACCCATTTATGCATTTAATGTTGAGTGCATATGCATGTGCAAAGCGCATGCATGCAAGGCCACTAAATAACATTTTCTAGAGGTTTTTTTGCAGATGCAGCATTTAAGCCAAAAGCAAAGACGCTTAATAAAGCAATAGCTGACTGAGACTGAGACACGAACGGCTTTGGCTGGCCTTGAGCAGCAGCGGAAGAGGCGAGCGCTGCTGCCTTTACTGCTGCTGCTGCTGCTGCTGCTGCTGCTGTTGCACAGGCTGGGACGTCTGTGCGCGCCGACGCTGTGCAGCCAGCTGGGGGTGGGGGGCCCCAAGGACAGCGCGAAGCTGCAGCAGGCGAAGGAAGAAGCTTACCGGCGCGGGTTCTACGAGGGGGTGCTGGTGGTGGGGCCGTTTGAGGGGCTGAAGGTGCAGGAGGCGAAGCAGCTGGTGCGGCAGCAGCTGCTGCAGCAGGGGCTGGCGTGCGTCTACTTCGAACCGGAGAAGAAAGTGGTGGCCCGCAGCGGCGACGAGTGCGTGGTGGCGCTGCTGCCGCAGTGGTTCATCAGCTACGGGGAGGCGGAGTGGCGGGAGGCGGTGGAGGCGCACCTGACCAGTGGTCACTTCGACCCCCACAGCCCCCAAACTATGCACCAGTTCTCCTTTGTGCTTTCTTGGCTCAAAGAGTGGGCCTGCAGCAGAAGCTACGGACTCGGGACTTTCTTGCCCTGGACCACGGACACTGACGCGCCAGTCCTCATCGAGAGCCTCAGCGACTCCACCATCTACATGGCCTACTACACCGTCGCACACCTCATCCAGGCAAACCCTAAACCCTAAACCCTAAACCCTAGGCGGGGACGGGCTGGCCAACCCGTGCGCCTCAGCCTCCGCCAAGCGACTCAGGGAAGGGTCTTTGCATGCAGCGTCTCGACTTGTGCTGATTTTGTCTTTTATTTTTATTGGCGGTTTTTTACTTCCTTTTTTCTCAGGGAGGAGACATTTACGGGGACACTCCCGGGCCCCTCGGCCTCACGCCCGCAGACCTGACAGAACAATTTTTCGACTACATTTTCCTCCTCAGAGATGAGCCACCCAAAGACACCAAAGTGTCCCTGGAAAACCTTAACGTATGCTGCTGCTGTGCTGCTACTGCTGTGCTGCTGCTGCTGCGCTGCTGTTGCTGCAGCTGCTGCACCGGCTGGGGAAACTGCTCGGTAGCCAAGACTGCCCGGAAACTGTCTTTGCCCCCAAGTGCTGCCTGGGGGCTCCATGTATTCTTCTGCAGCTGCCCCTAAGACAGTTGCTGCTGCTGCTGCTGTGTTGCTGCTGCCGTGCATCAGCTCAAACAACTGAATAGTGAAGACTGCCTGTAGCCGCCGGTTTGTTCTTTCTGCTGCCTCCCTTGCATGCCTTTGTCCTTGTGCATGAGGCTGCATGCAAACGCCTTGGGGCTGCATGCGTTTTCCCCCTTGCAGCTTAGAGTTTGCTCCGCCTTTGTTTGAGTCTGCTGCATGCAGCGGCTGCGCGCGGAGTTTTCTTACTGGTATCCAATGGACCTCCGTGTCAGTGGAAAAGATTTGATTTTCAACCACTTGACCTTTTGCCTTTACTCCCACGCGGCCATTTGGAAAGACAGAGAAGACCTGTGGCCGAGGTCATTCGCTGTTTTGCTGCTGCTGCTGCTGCTGCTGAGCCCGGCGCTGCTGTTGCTGCTGGCCATCATTCTGCGGCAGCGGCGGCTGCAGCGGCAACCGCTGGGCATGCTTCGGACCCTACTCGCGCTGCTGCTGCAGCAACTGCAACAACTGCTGCTGCTGAGAAGCTCCGTCGTCCATGCCGCCGCATTTGCTGCTGCTGCTGCTGCTGCTGTTTGTTCAGGGGGTTCGCCTGCAACGGCATGGTGCTGGTTGACGCCGAAAAGATGAGCAAAAGTACTGGCAACTTTTTGACTCTTGAAGAATCCATAAAACAATTTTCAGCCGACGCCACCCGCATTGCCTTTGCAGACGCAGGTAATGCCTGGAGAGGCTGCTGCTGCTGTTGCTGCTGCCTTGAGTGGTGTGCAGCTGTTGCTGCTGCTTCTCGTGTTGCTGCAGCAGCAGCTGCTGCTGCAGCTCCTGCAGCCACAGGCTGGCTGTCTTCTTTGTTCTGACTCCTTCGTGGTTCCAGCTAACGAGCTGTCTAGACGCCGCGGCCTGCAAGCCGAACTATTTGGCGCCATTTTTTCCGGAAAGAGACCAAAAGATTCTTTTTGTTTTTTCTTTTTTGCTGCTGCTGCAGGAGACTCTCTAGATGACGCAAACTTCCAAAGGGAGACAGCCAACAGCGCCATCACTAGACTTTTCCTCCTCAAGAACCTCGCAATGGATTTCGCTGAGCAGAAGATCGAGCTCAGAGAGGGTGAACGCAAACCCTCGACTCTTCCTAAACCCTTCTGTCTAGACCCTCGCTAAACCCTCGCTAGATCCTAAACCCTAAACCCTTGTCGTCGCAGGGAGCGGCATCGGAGCCGAGTCCTCCCTGTGCGGCGCCGCGGCTGTCCTTTATTTTCCAGGGTTGCGACTTTGACTGCAGGGCTAGGAGCCTAGGGTTTAGGGTTTAGGGTTTAGGGTTTGGGTTTGTGTGCACATCTGTGAAGGCCCCATGACGGCTGCGGACCTGCTGTTTAGGAACGAAATTGGCCTCTGCGTCAAAGCAGCAGCAGCAGGCTATGAAGATCTTCAATTTAGAGAAGCTTTAAAAGCTTCTTTTTATGAATTGGCAAACAAACGCGACCTGTACAGACAGCTGGTGGACAAGGACAAAATGCACAAAGAACTCCTCAGCACCTGGCTGGGTAGCGCAAACCCTAGACCTTCGCGAAACCCCAAACCCTAGACCCTCGCGAAACCCCAAACCCTAAACCCTCGCGAAACTCTAAACCCTAGACCCCCACGGCTGAAGCAACCAGTTCGCCGGCAGCAGCCGTCTGGCGCTCTGAAATTAGGCGTGAGAGGCTCAGGGCCCATTCCTAAGGTTTGGGCTTGATGTGGGGCTTCGGCCGGGGGTTTAGGGTTTAGGGTTTAGGGTTTGTTGGCTTGCCGCAGAGGTGCAAGCCGTCATTCTCTCGCCCATCGCGCCCCACATCAGCGAATACATTTGGAGTTTTGTCTTGAAGAAAAAAGGTCTTGTGGCGGACGCGGATTGGCCTGAGCTGCCCTATGACGCAGTGCTGCACCGGTGAGGGTTTAGGGTTTGCTAGGGTTTGCGGCGGCACCTGTGCAAACCCTAGCTAGCCTCAGCCCGAAACCCCAGGCCCCCAAACCCTCAGGCACTATGGTTTATGGCTTGTGTTCAGAAAGTTCGAGATTTTGTTCTCCGCCGTTGAGGAGTTCCGGCGCTGCAGGGACAAAATGCTGCAGGCAGCAGCAGGTGGCAGGAAGAAGGGCAAGCAGCAGCAGCAGCAACAGCAGCAGCAGCAGCAGGCCCCGCAGCTCACGCACGCAGTTGTCTACGTTGCCAAGTGAGCCAGTCTCTTGTATAGCGCCAGCACCAGCTGGTGCTGCTGCTTTTGCTGCTGCTGCGTTTGCTGCTACTGCAGCGTGCACCCCTAGCTTGATGTGTGCATCTCACACCATTGCATGCATTTTTCTTGCCCTTATTGTCTTCTTCCATTTTTGATTTATATATTCATTTCAAAAAGGATATTAATATCATTTTTGTTTCTTTTTGACTCAGAGAATACAACCCGCTGCAGCAGCAGGTGCTGACCGTGCTGCAGCGAATCCCCCTTGTCAAGGGCCCCCAGGGCGAAATGGAGGCCCCCCCGGACTTCATGGATTATCTCAAGGGGGCCCCTGAGCTTCAGGAAATGGACAAGAACCAAAAGAAGGACGCAATGGCCTTTGCTTCGTATCAGATGCGGGTAAGACGCCCTAAACCCTAAACCCTAAACCCTTCTACACCACGTAAACCCTAAACCATGAGCCCTAAACCCTTCTACAGCACTTGCCGCGCATGTGGCCTTTGCCATGGCCCGACTGGCAACAGAAAACCGTGAGATAGACTGGGCCTGTCTTGGCTTCGCCGGCTGGGGTTTAGGGTTTGCGGCTGCAGCTTAGGGCTAGGGTTTAGGGTTTGGGGTTTGTGTTTGTTGCCTCAGGATGAGCTAAAGGCTTGTGGACCCTCTGCGCTGAACTTGCGTCTACCCTTTAGCGAAATAGAACTGCTGGAGACCCACAAGCAGTTCCTGCTGAGCGCACTGGATCTGAAGTGTAAGCTGCCCCTCCTAAACACTAAACCCTAAACCCTAAAGGCTAAACCCTCATCAAGCTGTAGACTCTGCGTGCCCCCTTAAGCTCCGTCGTAAAACCTTTTTCCCGCAATTAATCTGTTTCAGCGGGAGTCTCAAACCCTGGTGACGCTGTTTTGAGTCGGCTCGAAGGGTTTAGGGTTTAGGGTTTAGGGTTTAGCCGAGAGGCAAACGGCAGCCCTCCAGCTAAGGGCTGGCAGATTGGCGCTTGCGTGTTGGCCACTGCATGCGGCGAATGGCATTGGGTTTCTGCTGCTAAATGATTTAGTTGGATTTCTTTATTTTTGTGTTTTTTCTGCTGCTGCTGCTGCTGTTCTTTTTTGCTTTTGCTGCTGCAGCAATTGAATTCAGAAACGCCGACGACCCCAGCCCAGCAGACAACTCAAACTGCCGGGCCCAAGCGAAGCCCGCAAAACCCTCAATATTTTTCGCTGCTGCTGCATGCAGCTAGAAGTGGGCCCCCCCCTTGCCTTTAAAGGGGCTCACCGAGAGCGTAAAAGGGCCCCTAGGGGGGCCCCCCTGGGGCCGTTCGAGGGCTTCCGGGGGGGCCCCCAAAATTGCCCCTACGGGGACCTCCAGGGGCCCCCTACAGGGGCCCCCAAAGCAGCTGCGCAATGCCACTACATTCAGTACCCTTTTTGTGGCCCCCATAGGGGCCCCGTAGGACTTAATTGACCCAGAGCTTTTAATTGCTGCAGGGGCGGCAAAAGGGGCCCCTCTGAGGCTTCTTGTGGCCTGTGGCAGATATGTGAGTTTGGGGGGGTAGGGATTTTTAGAAAGGGAATATGACACTTAAGGGTTTAGGGTTTAGGGTTTAGTGGAGCCGGCTCGACACCCTAACGTAAACCCTCGACACAGTTGGTTTTTCTCATTTTGTTCAGGCCGCTCACGTTGCCTGCACTATAGGTAGGGTTTAGGGTTTAGGGTTTTGCCGTATTGTTTCGAGTTTTTGTCCAAAGCCTTGAGATAGAGGCACGCGCAGCAGCAGCAGCTGCTGCAGCCGCTCACGTTGCACGTTGCCTGCACCATAGGTAGGGTTTAGGGTTTAGGGTTTAGGGTTTTGCCGTATTATTTCGAGTTTTTGTCCAAAGCCTCGAGATAGAGGCACGAGCAGCAGCAGCAGCTGCTGCAGCAAGGACTCTCATTCGTTTTCCTTCTCGCTGCTTTTGTCTCCCTGCTTGTCTGCCGCTGCTGCTGCTGCTTCAGCAACACGCAACGCTGTATCAGCTGTCATCCGCCGCAGCCGCTGCTGCTCTCGTGCAGCAGCAGCAGCAGCAGCAGTCGCGCGGCGGGGCGCAATGCTGCTGTCTAGAGCTGCAAGGGAAGCGCGGTGGCTCCGCAGCGCGGCAGCAGCAGCAGCGGCTGCTGCTGCTGCTGCTTCATCCTTGCTTCCTGTTGAGGATGAAACGAGGGACCTCCGTGCTGCTGTTGCTGCTGCAGCAGCTGCTACTGCTGCCTCCCTGTCATGCTCTGTGAAGGCGAGAGACTTGCGAGCTACTGCTGCTGCTGCTGCTGCTGCTGCTGCTTTGTCATCTTCGCCTGCTGCTAAGAACTTCCTCACTTCTGCTGTTGAGAGAGAACGGCCCCTAGACGCTTTCCGCAGCAGCAGCTCTTCCTGGCGCAGCAGCAGCAGCTGCTGCTGCTCCGCCTGTTCCTGATGCAGCAGGTTCAGTTGCTGCTGCAGCAGCTGCTGCTGCACGGTGGTTTTCCTGCTGTTTCTGCGCCCCGCAGCTGCGTCTTCAGCAGCAGCAGACGCAACTGCTTCAGCAGCAGCAGCAGCAGCAGCTCCCCTGGCAGCAGCAGCAGCAGCAGGCGACCCTGGGCCGAAAAAGAGGATGTTGCGTCTAAGGAAGTAACCACCAACGGCAGCAGAAATGTAAGACAGCAAGGCAAGAAGATATATCCCCAGCTGCGCAGAAGCACTGACAAGCTGCTGCTGCAGCCGCAGCTGCTGCTCCTGTGCTGCAGCAGATTCAAAAGGGTCTAAATTGGAAAGCCGCTTCTTAACAGACTTCACATTGTAGACAGAGAGAACCACCAAGAGCAGCTGCAGCAGCGCCAGCAGCACAGCGAGCGCCGCGTACACGCTGGCGCCGCGCCAGTCTGCAGCAGCAACAGCAGCAGCAACAGCAGCAGCAAACGGTTGAAGGCAGCAGGAGCCACACGCAGAAGCCCCAGAAGCAGCCAGATGAGTGAGAACAGGCGCAGCAGCAGCCAGACAGAAACGGCTACAGCACACTTTCAGGGGCCCAGCTTCAGCAGCAGAAGCAGCAGCAGCAGCATCTGCTGCTGCTGCTGCTGCTGCTTCAGCAGAAGCAAGCAAAACAGCAGCAACACCAACTCAGCCAGGACACCATCCGAAGTGCGGCAGCAGCAACAGCCACAGCAGCAGCACTGGCAGCAGCAACAAAAGCAACGGCAGACCCCTTTTGAGAGTGGCAGAAGCTCCAAAAAAAGCTATACAAGCAGCCGAAATGATCTCGAGAGCAGCAGAAGCAAAGTCAATGGCTTCTTCTGCTGCTACTATCCCTAATACGAACAAAGTGAAGGAAAGCAAGCAGCACCACACGACCAAAAAGAGAGAAATGCGGACGGAGTTTCGAAGTCTAGAAGGCTCCCGCACCCAGGCCTTGGGTACGGGCAAAGCAGTTGCTGCTGCTGCTGCTGCTGCTGCTGCTGCGGAGGACGAGGAGGAATTGCTGCTGTTGCTGCTGGTGTCGTGCTTGGGGGAGGCCAGTAACGCAGATGAGACCTCGCCGTCAGAGTCCACAGCGGCGAACGCTACAGACGGCTTTGCTGCTGCTGCTGCTGCTGCTTTGGCCGCGGCGCCTCCACCGCCTGCAGCAGCAGCAGCAGCAGCAGCATCAACTGATTGACGAGACGACGCAACAGAGTCTCGTCTGATTTTTATCTCGAAAGAATCCCCAGGGTCCTCTGCACCCTCATGCTGCTCCATTGGAGGGAAACTCCATACGGGATGCAACCCTAACTAAGCACTAAACCCTAAACTCTGCCAAACCAGAAAGCGTTTCAAACCCTAAACCCTAAGAAGCAGTAAACCCTAAACCCTGGAGCCTGGATACCCCGTAACCCTAAACCCCAGCTAGCGATACGCTGCGCTCCCTCAGAAGCCGTATTTGGGAACCAAACCCCAGTGAGCCTCAACCCTAAACCCTAGACCCTAGACCCTAAACCCTAAACACTAAACCCTGGAGAGCTCTGAACGCTAAATCCCTGTGAGTTTCTCTCTTTTACTGTGATGACAAAATGGTAAGTAAACTAATGGGAAAAGTTTAAAGCTGGCCTGTACGTACACCCCAAGACGACGCAGGCACAGCTAGAGCCAGAGAGGCACTGGCGGCCAAACCCTAAACCCTAAACCCTAAGCCCTAGCTCTTTTCTTAATGCTCCACTCTCTAAAAAAGAACAAAGAAAATGGAAAATAAATGTTTTCTTGTTTAAAGCAACTCCTCCCCTTCTGGCCCCGCCGATGCAGCTCATATGACCTCCCAGACCTTGGGGCCCCAGAGAGCTTAGCAAACCCTAAACCCTAAACCCTCGACCCCCAAACCGTAAAACCTAAATCATTACAAATATAATTTGACTATTGAAGCAATTTATGAATAGTTGAAAAGCTCAGATATTGTCAAAAGTGCAGCAAATGCAGCGCTGCAACAGGTGACCTCAGGGGCTACACGGCAGTCTCAGAGTCTAAACCCTGAAATGGAAACTGCAATTCCTAGAAAACCCTAAACCCTTAAAATTCCTGAAGCCTGAGAAGATCCTAAACCCTCGAAGTCCCTAAACCCTGAAGAGGTTATAAACCCCAGAAACCCCCAAACTCTGAACCGAGTGCCAGACCTAACGCTGATTGTAGAGCCTAGAAACCCCCAAACCCCGGAATAACAGTAAACCCTAGAAGCCACCAAAGACTAAAACGCAGAGTGGAAACTCTAGGAAAACCCTAGATGCTTCATGAATTGCGAACCCTTGAAAACCCTCTGCGCGCCGCTTCAACTGTAAAACCTAGAAACTCCAAACCCTCAAACTTCAGCAAACCCTAGGGGCCCTCACACTCTACCATGTAAAATAAAGACCCTAGAAACGTCAAACCCTCAAAATATGCAGAGAACTCTGAAGGCTCCGAACCCCTAGACACCCACCCTAAACCGTAGAAACTCCTAAACCCTAAAATGGCTGCTAAGCCCACGGCAACTCCTAAACCCTGAAGAGGCTGTTAAGCTCAGGGTCACTTGTTGCAAAATAATTCAACTTCAGTCTTTTTGGCGTCCGTCGCCGCAAATTGAATCATTAAAAGCGCAAATACGTCATTGTTCCTTGACAAGGAAACCTAAACCCTAAACCCTAAACCCTAAACCCTCTTTCTGAGCCACACGCCGTAGCTGCTAACCCATCCGGCCGAGCGCGGCCCTCTCTGCGCAGCAGCGGCTACCCCGAAACCCTAAACCCCAAGCCCTCAACCCTAAACCCTAACTCCGGCCAATTCGAGGGGCAAATGCATCTGTAGTGCTTTGCTGCTCCCTCTTAATCACCCAAACCACTGAAGGTCCTCATAAAGGCCTTCGAAGAACTGCTTGGGGGCCCCCAAGGGGCCCCTGAAGAGCTCGCCAAGGGCCCCATAGGGGCCCCTAACGAGCCCAGTAAAGGGCCCTTGAGGGGCCCTAAATCAAATAATTAAGTACCTCCGAGGGGCCCCTGATGAGCTGATTGGGGGCCCCTGAGGGGCCCCAACCGAGCTGACTGGAAGCCCCTTGGGGAGCTCAATGAGGCCAGGGGCCCCCTAAGGGCCCCCAACCCCGTAGGGGCCCCCTAGGTGCCCCCCACCGCTCCCACATAGAACCCCTAGAGGCCCGCTGGCGGCCCCTAGGGACATCCTGGGGGGCCCCTAGAGGCATTCTCGGGGCGCCCTATAGGCCCCGAAGATGCGGGGCCCCCTGGGGCCCCCTGAGGGCCCCCTAGGGGCCCCGTGGGGGCTCCCGTCAGCGCTTGATGCGGGTGCAGGTGCACTCGAAGAGCAAGTCTGCATTGGGGGGGATGCTGGGGGGGGCCCCCCGCTTGCCGTAGCCCAGGGCACTGGGGATGGAGATCCTTCGGGTCTCTCCAACTCTGCATCCAAGGAGGCCCAACTCGAGGCCCTTTATGACTTCGTGGGCCCCCACGCAGAAAGTAATTTTGCCCTTGTCGAAGCAGTGGCGGTTCTTCAGCAAAAGTCCTTTGTACTGAATCGTTACGTTGCAGCCCCGCTCGCACCGGGGGGGCCCCCCGGGGGCCCCCGTCCGCAGCACCGTGAACTCCACCCCGCTCGGCAGCCGGTACACGTCGCCCGCACGCACTTCGTCGCTGCCCTGCTGCTGCTGCTGCTTCTGCTGCTGTTGCTGCTGCTGCTGCTGGGAGAGGGGCGGCGGACGCTGCTGCGGCTTGTGAGCCTTCTGCCCGCTCAGCTGCTCAACCAGGGACGGAGTCCGTTTAGTCTCTGGCGCCAGCTCTAGCTGCAAGGATCTTTTCTGCTGCTGCTGCGGCTGCTGCTGCTGCTGCTGCTGCTTGAGCAGCTTCTGCTGTCTGTAAAGCTGCTCATCGACGAGCTTAGGGACTTCGTCCGCGTCGGCCTCGACCCTCCGCTTCCTCTTGATGCTGCTGCTGCTGCAGTCGTTGCTGCAGCAGCTGCAGTCGTCTGCGGGGCGGGGCACGAGGGCCCCCGCCAGCTGCACTGCCCAGCCTGTCTTGCTGCTGGCCTTTGCTGCTGCTTCCAGCCAAAACTCTGTGTCTTCCTGCAGCAGAAACAACATTCAGACGTTTTCGAATTTGTTTTCGTTTTCTTTGCTTTTCTAAACAAAAAAGTTGCAAGAAAATAAAATCTAATTATGCATTGCAAGCCAAACATGTCTTCGAGTCTTTCCGCCCACAAGTGCTGATTTGCGGGCCTGTCAGGTGTACGTACACCTCAACGCCCAACTGCATGCATTAAGAAAACTATTTCTTCGCGAAGTTTCACGCAGATGGGATCTTTGGCAAAAAGCAGCAAAAGTGAAGCATTATGTGCATGCAGAGTAGTAATACAACAGAAATTTATTTTAAAAATGAATTAAATCCACCTTCTAATTATTGTGAAATGTAAACTGCACCTATAAGTCTAGATACTCCAGGAATGCAGCACGCGGCGCTGCTGCGTCTGCTGCAGCAGCTCGACTTCGGAGCAGCAGCGCGGGTGAATATTGTACAAATAAATCCATAAATAAAAATAAATATAAATAAATGCATTTCATTGGAGTCCAGACTCTCTGCACCTTCGCTGCTACTAAAAGGCGCGTGCGGAGGTACACATACACCGCAGTGAAAGTGCAGGATGGCGCAAGTTTCGCATGTTTAAATGTTACAGATACATATTTATTCATATATATTTATATATATAAACAAACATATATTAAATATATTAAAAACAAATAAATATATGTAAATGCAAAGTAGAGCTTACCCACATGCATAAATACATCAGAACACAGAAGCGCTATGATGCACTGTGCTGTATAGGCAGCAGCCGCACATGCATGCTACATAAGCAGCAGCAGCAGCAGCAGCACGAATAGGCGCGGCATCAGCAGCGGCAGGAGCAGCACGAATAGGCGCAGCAGCAGCAGCAGCGTGTCACTGCAGCACGAGCTTGAGCCGCAGCAGCAGCACCGGAGTCACGAGAAACCGCAGCAGCAATAGCAGAAATGACAAATGCTGCAGCAAGGCAAACAGCAAGAAGCAGAAGCAGCAGCAGCAACAGCAGCAGCAGCAGAAACTCACTGAAATTACAATCCTAATGGGCTGTCTGAACTCTCCGATCCTGGCTATGGGGGCCCTCACCACCTTGGCCGTCCGCATCATCAGGACCCAGGAAGGGGCCTCCCGCTGCTGCTGCTGCTGCTGTTGCTGCTGCTGCTGCTTCTTCTGTTTCTGCTGCTGCAGCTGCTGCAGGTAGATGGGACAGACGGGAACTGCCGCAGCTAAGTGAAGGATCCCTTCGTGGGATCGATAGTGGAGTCGATCCCCATTTAAGGTCAGCAGGCCTCCTGCAGCAGCAGCAGCAGCAGCAATACGATTTGCAGCAGCAGGAACATAGTGGCTCGATCTTCTGCACTCACGTAGAGAGGTGCAGCACCAACAGCAGCAGCAGCAGCAGCAGCAGTGCCTTACCCCAGAAAGCCATTGTATTAACAGTGAATAGAAATAGCCCCTGAGGCTTCAAACAAAGACTTGAGGGATTTAGGGTTTAGAGCCTAGGGTTTAGGGTTTGGAGGGTTTGCCTCAGCGCGCCCTTGAACTCGAGAGCAGACGATGAGGGTTTAGGGTTTGCTGCTCCTAAACTCGGCAAAAATCTAAAACCCTAGCTTTCAGGGTTTAGGGTTTGCCTTCAGCATTTAGGGTCTAGGGTTTAGGGTTTACAGCTGGGCGCTCGCTCTGCACTGTTGAGACACTAGACCACCTGTGGGACCCGAGTGCATGCGGCCCCGATTAGCGGATTAGGGTTTAGGGTTTAGGGTTTAGGGTTTAGGGAGCCCCATTGAAATATAAAAATAACGGAGTCAGGCCCGCGTTTCTATTGCAGCGGAGGCGTCTGCAGCAGCAGCAGCAGGAGCAGCAGCAGCAACCGCAGCATCCCACGGGGCCCCACACTCGACTAGCGGCACAGCAGCACAGCAGCACCAGCTGCAGCAGCAGCAGTTCTGTGGATTCTCTGGACGTTGCTGTTGCTGCTGCCGCTGCTGCTGCACATACACTTAAGACGGCCCCAGTCATCGGGGCCTCCAGCTGCTGTTGCTGTTGCTGCTGCTGCTGTTCTCGCCGTTTCTCAGTGAAAATCAGCAGCAAATGGGCCCCACAGCTGCAGCCTCTGGCTGCCTATCAGCAGCAGCGGCTGCTGCTGCGGCAGCCGCAGCTACACGGCCGTTTGCAGCAGCAGCAGCAGCAGCAGCATGCAGCCAAAGAGCCCAAAGAGCCGCCACTGCGGCAGCTGCTGCAGTAAAACTGAGCCAAAGCAGCAGCAGCAGCTGCTGCTGCATGCAGCGTGGGCTCTGCAGCGGTGCAATGGCTTGCTGGAGCCACCAGCTTCAGGCACACCGTAGGCGCAGCAGCAGCAGCATCTGCAGCAGCAACTGCAGCAGCATGCGGTACTTCTGCTGCCCGCTCAGTACAGCAGCAGCTAGCGGTCAGCTGCAACCCCAGCAGCAGCAGCAGCTGCTGCTGCAACAGCCGGAAGCAGCAGCAGCCTCCAGCAGCAGCGACGCTGCACCAGCCCCTCGCCAAGACCAGCACCAGCCCGCGCAGCAGCCCCAGCTCCAGCAGCAGCAGCAGCAGCACGACCAGCAGCAGCAGCAGCAGCAGCAGGACTATCTGTATGACGCAGAAGAAGAAGTGCTAAGCCCCGAGCAACGCCAAGAGAAAGAGCGGCTTATTAAACTCTTGGCGAAGAAGCTGGCGGGGCCCTTAGCAGACGCAGACGGCTGCGTTCCCACAGGCAAACCTTAAACCCTAAACCCTAAACCCTCGAGCAGCGGTCAGAAGCTCGCAGCAGAGGCCCTTGCGAGACTCGGTTTGTGATGACGCAGAGTCTAGGGTTTGCGAGTTGAGCTTTTGGGTTTCGGCATTAACGGTTTGGGCGCTGCCAGAAGCAAGGGTTTAGGGTTTAATGCTTCACGCTTCAAATTTAGGGTTTAGGGTTTAGGGTTTAGGGCTAAGGGTTCAAGTTCCAGGCTGCGGTTTGAGGTCCAGGGCACAGGCAGAGCCTGTCGAATTCGGGAATCCATTCCGAGGGTTGCGGGTCCCAGGCTTCAGGGAAGAACCTAGGGTTTACGATTTAGGATTTAGAGTTTAGGGTTTAGGGTTTAGGGTTTAGGATTTGGGGTTTGCGCAGGGTCTGCGCGGCCGGTGGCGATAGAAGTGGACGGGCCTTCGCACTTCTATAGCGGCACTGAACAGTACACTTCTTACACGAAGTTGAAGCACCGGCTTTTGACTCGAATGGGGTTTAAAGTGCTGCACGTTCCTTACTTCGAGTGGCGCCGCCTGCGGCAAGAAACCCTAAACCCTAAACCCTAAACCCTAGACCCTAAACCCTACGCGCTAAGCGGGGGCTGCGGGCTGCAAGACGCACAGCGCGCCGGCAGCCCGTGACAGCAGGGGGTGGCTGCGCAGGCGCAGTAGCTGCTCGCAGTGGGGTCTGCACGAAGGTTTAAGGTTTAGGGTTTAGGGTTTAGGGTTTGCGATGCGGCTGCAGGGGGCAACGGGAGCGAGAGGAGTACATGAAAAAGAAACTGCAGGAGGAACCCTCGGAGTGGCTAGACCCTCAAGATGAGGCCTTCTACAACCAAAGAATGGGGGTAGGCAGCTACGGCTTAGGGCTTAGGGTTTAGGGTTTAGGGTTTAGGGTTTGGGGTTTGAAGAATGGGCCCAGATATTTGCGTTTTGGGTTGCGTGTGCTCTCCTGCGAGCAGCTGCTGCAGCAGCAGTACCAACAGGAGCTGCAGCGGCAGGCAGCAACTTCCCAGCAGCAGCAGCAGCAGCAGCAGCCGCAGCAGCAGCAACACCAGCAGCAAGATGGCCCCCAGCCCCAAGAGGGGCCACAGCAACCGTGCAGCGTAGCCCAGCAGCAGCAGCAGCAGCAGTGGCAGCAACAGCGGCCACAGTGGCCGCAGCAGCCGCAGCAACAGCAGCAGGAGCCGCAGCAACAACAGTGGGAGCAGCAGCAACCTTCACAGTGGCAGCAGCAGCAGCAACCGCAGTGGCAGCAGCAGCAGCCGCAGCAGCAGCAACAGCAGTGGCAGCAACAGCAGCAACCGCAGTGGCAGCAACAGCAGCAGCAACCGCATTGGCAGCCACAGCAGCAGTGGCAGCAGCAGCCACAATGGCCGCAGCAGCAGTGGCAACAGCAACAGCCACAGCAGCAGTGGCCACAGCAGCAGCCACAGCAGCAGTGGCAACAGCAACAGCAGCAACCGCAGTGGCAACAGCAGCAGCAGCAACCGCAGTGGCAACAGCAACCGCAGCAACCGCAGTGGCAACAGCAACAGCCACAGCAGCAGTGGCAGCAGCAGCAGCCACAGCAACAGTGGCAGCAGCAGCAGCCACAGCAACAGTGGCAGCAGCAGCAGCCACAGCAACAGTGGCAGCAATTCCCACAGCCTCAGTGGCAGCAGCTGCAGCAGCCACAGCAGCAGTGGCAGCAGCAGCCGCAGTGGCAGCCGCAGCAGCCACAGCAGCAGTGGCAGCCGCAGCAGCCGCAGCAGCAGTGGCAGCAGCAGCAGCAGCCTTGGCAACAGCCTCAGCAGTGGCAGCAGCAGCAGGGCAGCACATGGGACACCCAGCAAGCCTACCAGCAGCAGTCTTGGCCGCAGCAGCAGCAGGAACACCCCCAGCAGCAGCATGAGCAGCAAGAGCCGCAGCAGCAACAGCAGGCAGCCGCCGCAGCTGAGCTGCCGCAGCAGGACGGCGCAGGCTCAGCTGACAACGCATCAGCGCCGCTGCAGCAACAGAACTAGCAGCAGCAGCAGCAGCAGCAGCAAGGTCAGTAAAGGCTGGAACAAAACCTGTTGCGGGTTTTTTCAGCGAAATGCACGTGCAGCAGCTGCTGCTGCTTCTGCTTTTGCTGCAGCAGGTGTTGCTGCAGCAGAGCTGCAGCAGCAGCTCCTGCTGCTGCTGCAGCAACACCTGCAGCAGCAGCGGGGACAGCAGCAGAACAGCCCTCCGTATATTCAAATTGCAAAAGCTTATAAGGCCCAGTACTTCAAAGGGCCCCACGAGGCCTCACAGGGCCCCCCAAGCTGGGGGTCCCCAGGGGCCCCCTTAAGGGTCCACGGCCTTAAGGGGCCCCCAGGGGGCCCCTAGAGGCCGTGGACCCTTAAGGGGGCCCCAGACCCTTTCTATGTAGCCTCAAGAGGGGCCCTTGGGCGAGCTGCTGCACGGGGAGGGATGTTGTGCTGCTGCAGCTTCTGCCGCTGCTGGAGCTGCAGCTGCTGCTGCAACTGCTACAGCTGCTGCTGCAGTGGCAGCAGCAGCAGTGGCACCTGCAGCAGCAGCAGCAGCAGCAGCAGGGACTCCAGAAGGCGCCCTTGGCTATCATAGGGCCCTCCAGCGCAGCTGTGAGTTGTTCGCCACCTGCTGGTTACGTGGATCCATTCTGCTGTACCTATGAGGGTTTAGGGTTTAGTGCTTAGGGTTTAGGGTTTAGTGCTTGGGGTTTAGGGTTTAGGGTTTAGGGTTTAGGGTTCAGACAAGGACGCCGGACCACTCTCGCTCTAAACCCTCGCAGCTACTGAGCTGGGGGCGTCGGGGTGACCTGAGGGTCTGCTGCTGCGCTGAAGCGCAGCTCTAGAGGAAAAAGTTGAATTGAAAAGTAATTATTTTATAATTTTTAATGTCAAAAACCCGAAAATTCGCATTCTTTTGGTCGGTGGGGCCCACTGGGTACCTCGAGAGGGTGGTTCAGCTCAGCTCGCCTGGGGTTCTGGTCGGTCGACTCATTTGGAGGGAATTCTCCCGATATTTACGATTTAATTTGTTAAATGGGACTTTTAATGTAAATATGACTTTTTATTTCAATTAATTGCGCACAAAAGTGAGATTTGCGACAAAAGGCATTAGGAAACCCAGAGCTGCGAGGCGGCATGCCTCACTGGGGGCCCCTTGTCTTGCGTGCTGCTCGAGGGTTTAGGGTTTAGGGCTTGGAGTTTACAGCCCGGGATCCAAAAACCCTCAGAGAAGTTAGACGCCGTTAGTTATATCCCGCTTCGGAGCGTTTAGGTTTAGGCCCGAGGGTTTGGGGTTTTAGACCACTCGCCGGGGGCCCCTTGTTCAAGAATGGAGAGTTATTGCAGTGAAAGATGCATGCACACATGAGCACAGCAGCAGCAGCAACAACAGCAGCAGCAACAACAGCAGCAGCAAAAAAGGCAGCAGCAGCTGCAGCAGCAGCGAGAGTAGCAGCAAGGACCAGTCACTCCTCAGCGGACCAGCCAGGAAACTAAGGGGGCCCCACAGGGGGGCCCCCGGGGACCATGGAGAGCCCCACAACATTTGAGGGGCACAGAAGATGGCCTTACTGCGCAGCCACTTGGCAGCCGCCGCAGCAGCAGCAGCAGCAACAGCAGCAGCAGCAACAACAGCAGCAGCAGCAACAACAACAGCAGCAGCAGCAGCGGCAGGAACAGCGAGAAAAGCGACAAAATGCATCTTGAACGGCGTTCCCTTCCTGTTTCTTCTGCTGCTGCTGCTCTTGAATTCACTGCAGCGGGAGAAACAGCATCAGCCGCAGCCGATGCTGCTGCTGCTGCTGCTGCTTCTGCCGGTCGTGCTCCTGCAGAAGCAGCAGCAGCAGCAGCAGCAGCAGTCCTTGGCGCGGGAGAAGAATTTGCCAAAGAATCTGCAGTATCACCTGACGCAGATTGTTGTGCTGCTTCTAGAGGCTGCTCTCTGTTGGGCAGCAGCAGCAGCAGCAGCAGCAGCAGCAGCAACACCAGCAGCAGCACTGGCTGCCCCCATTCGTCCGCAGCCAAATCTCAGGGGGCTCCCAAGCAGAGGGGCCCCTGGGAGCCTCTGCTGCCCGTTGTTCATCCCTGAGGCCCCTCGTGCTGCACTGCAGCAGCAGCAGCAGCAGCAACTGCAGCGGCAGCATGTCCTTCCCTTAAATCGTGTAGCTAGGAGGGACCCTTACGGGGTTTGCTCCCTTTCAAGCCGCAGCAGCAGCTACAGACCGAATCCACTGAGCAGCAGCAGCAGCAATAGCAACAGCAGCGGCAGCAACAACAGTAGCGGCGGCGGCAGCAGCAGCAGCAGCAGCGGCAGCAGCAACAGCAGCAGCAGCGTCGGTGTACAGACACTGCAAGAGGCCTGCCTTCTGCTTGAAGAAGAGCTGAGGGCTCACGTGGGGAAGGCCGGTGTAGACACTGAAGCGCTCAAGGTAGCAAACCCTAAACCCTAAACCCTAATCCTAAAACCCTAAACCCTAAACCCTAAACCCTAAGCACTCAAGCGCCGGGCTTCTAGGGGCACCGGCTCTGACCAGACGCTGCATTTGCAGGCCCAGATGAAGCGATGAATGCCTAGGGTTTAGAACTCAGGGATTAGGGTTAAGGGTTTAGGGTTTAGGGTTTAACGACTGGTGACTTAGGGTTTAGGGTCTAGGGTTTAGGGTTTAGGGTTTCGCTGCTGCAGTTTCAAGTGACCCCCACCAGCCCCGCAGTTGAAGGCTATGAGCTTCAGGCTAACGTGGCTACTGCTATCGTGCTGCAGCAGCAGCAGCAGCAGCAAGAAGAGCAGCAGCAGCAGCAGCGGAAGAAAATTCTGCAGCATCAGACACTCAAAGACACAGGGGAGCCCGCAGCAGTTGTGGCGAGCACAGCAGCAGCAGCAGCAGCAGCAGCAGCAGCAAGCGAAGCAACAACAGCATCGAAAGCAAAAAGAGTAGCAGCAGCACCAGCAGCAGCAGCACCAACAGCAACGGCTGCGCCAGCAGCAGCAGCAGCAGCACTGGCTGATGGTGCTGCATTTGCTGCTTCTCTGTGGAGAGGCAGCGCCGCCCTCAGGGAAATTTGCTCGGCAGCAGACTACACTGGAAGAGGGTAAGCAGCAGCAGCAGCAGCAGCAGCAGCAGCAGCAGCAGCAGCAGCAGCAGCAGCAGCAGCAAAAGCAGGAGCAGCAGCAACAACAGCAGCAGCAGTAGCAGAACGAAATGTCACAGTTTGCACTGCATCGAAGCGAGCCGCAGCACCCTCTTATTATACATAAGACACAGGCTGCCACTATTGCTGCTGTTGCTGCTGCTGCTGTTGCTGCTGCTGTTACTGCTGCTGCTGCTGCTGCTGCTGCAGGTTTATAAGTTTCCGGCTGAGGGATGAATTGCTGCTGCGCCTGCTGCAGCAGATGACAGCAGACCCGGACCGCCTAGGCGTGAAACCAGTAACCTTTACTGCTGCTACTGCGACTACTGCTGCTGCTGCTGCTGTTCTTTTTGTTGCTGCTGCTGTTGCCTGCGTGGCGGATGTTGCTGCTGATTCTGTGGGGCTGCACCCGCGTGCATTTCTTGCCGCAGTTGGGGTTTTGCTGCATGCGCTTTGGCTCAGCTTTGGGGCTTTGTTGCATGCGTTTGGGGGCCTTGCTGCATGCGTTTTGTCTCAGTCTTTGGGGCTTTGTTGCATGCGTTGTGTCTCAGTCCTTGGGGCTTTGTTGCATGCGTTTGCACTTGGACTATTTCTCGCCGAATTTGGCAAAAGACCTTCACGTGGGGCACCTCAGAGGGGCGCTGGTCGGCGACTGCCTAGCGAGGTCTAAACCCTAAACCCTAAACCCTAAACCCTAGGCCCTACTCGCTGGTGTCTGGAGCATCTGCCTCGCTGCTGCTGCTACTTTCGAATTGCCATTTTTCTTTTTGCATAGTTCATTGAATAAAACTGCAAACAGAAAATAATTACCCTTTCGTGCTTTTTAAATCATTAAATACCATTTCTTTTTTACATTTAATTGTATAATGTTTTAAATGTAGTAATAAAATGGTTTTTTTTCCTGCTGCACTGCAGCTGCCGCTGCTCTTTGCTTCCCGCTTGACTTCTTTAAAATTGGGCCCTTTCTTTTTGCCAGCGCCGAGGTGTCTGTACATCTGAGGTGTATGTACACCTGCGGTGTATATACACCTGAGGTGTACGTACATCTGAGGTGTATGTACACCTGAGGTGTGCATACACCTGAGGCGTACGCAGCACTTAGAGCCCAGATCCCTTCTAGCCGGGGGCCCTCGGCTAGTTTTTTGGAGTCGTTGCTGCTCTTGTTCTTGCTGCTGCTGCTGTTGCTGCTGCAGTGCCCGGCAGCTCTTTGCTGCTGCTCTGCATGCGCTCAGGCTGCTGGAATTTCTCGGCTTGAGAGTCCGCCGCAGCTGCTACTTCGGAGACTGCGGCATTCCCGTTGCTGTTTGTCTTGGGGGCCTTCAAGTGTACAGGCAGCTGCAGCAACTCAGCAGCAGCAGCAGCAGCAGCAGCAAAAAAGGAGCCGGAAGCCCGAAGTCGCCTGCTGCAATGGTGGAAGCAGCAGCAGCAGCTGTTGTTGCCGCTACCCCGGCCGAGTGGAGACCGGCGCCCCTAACGAGGCGAGCAGCACCAAGCGCTGCAGCAGATGCAGCGGCACCAGCAGCAGCAGCAGACCTAGGAAGTTTAACCGATGCGGCTGCAGAAGCCTTCCTTTCCCATATGGCCGCTTTTGACAGGGCGCTGAAGCAACAGCAGCAGCAACAGCAGCAGCGAAACAGAAGCGCAGCTGCAGCAGCAGCTGCAGCAGCAGATGCAGCAGCAGCAACAGATGCTGTTCTTGACTGGCAGGAACTGGCTAAGGAAAAAGCGGCAGGAGACCAAGTGGACCTTACCGCGGCTTACGTGGTGAGTGTGCAGCAGCAGCAGCAGCAACAGCACTCATGAGAGGACGCACAGCAAAAACAGCAGCGCGGGGCGGGCTCTTGCTGCAGCGGCAGTCGCTGCCGCTGCTGCTGGAGCTTGTTTGAAGTCAGCAGCAGGAGCAGCAGCAGCAGCAGCGGGGCGTCGTTTGCATGCGTATGAGCTCAGCGCTGCAGGGAAATCTACTGCAGCAGCAGCGCCTTTGCTGCCGCTTGCCTGGCGTCGCTGGCTGCAGCAGTCTTTGGCTCGCCAGCAGCAGCAAAAACATTAAAGACAATTCACCAATTTTCAGTTCGGGTGGGCTGCTGCATCTGCTAACTCTTGTATGCTTGCTGCTGCGTCTGTCTCCTTTGTCCCCACCAAAAAAGCCTGCAGCTTCTGCTTGAATTGCGTTGCGTTTGCTGCTGCTGCTGCTGCTGCTGCTTCTGCTGCTGTGGGCTTGCAGCGCTTTGCGCAGCAACTGCGCCTCCTGCGTTTGTCTCCTCAAGCAGCAGAAGGCGAGCTGCAGCAGCTGCCGCGCATGCAGCATCTTATTGACTTACTAGCAGCACGGGGTCTGTTGCAGCCAGGTGACAGCAGCAGCAGCAGCAGCAGCATAGGCAGCAGCAATAGCAGCAGCAGCAGCAGCAGTAGTACGAGCCCCCTAAATGCCCGACTTCCTCAGCTGCAGACAGTTGCTAGCCGCACATGCCTGTCAGTGCAGCAGCGACAACAACTGAAGCCACAGCAGCAGCAGCAGAAGCCACAGCAGCAGCAGCCACAGCAGCAGCAGCCACAGCAGAAGCAGCCACAGGAGCAGGGGCGGCAGCCGCAGCAGCATCAGCAGCAGCAAGAAAACGCCACAGTTGCTCTTCGACGCCAAGGGGGGACGTACACGTACATCGCTACTGACCTCGCCACCCTGAAATCTCGGTAAACCCAAAACCCTAAACCCTAAATCCTAGAATGCCGTGTCGCGCACTTTTTACCCCTCCTCTTATGCAGAAAAACCCTAAACCCTAAACCCCAAGCCCTAAACCCTACCCAGCGGAGCGTTGGGTGAGGCTCTTGCAACGAATAGCCTTTGTGCTGCTCCCCAAATGGAAGTGTAAGGTCAAGGGTTCAGAACCTAGGGTTTAGGGTTTAGGGTTTGCGGGCAGAGTGGACAGCGGAGCCGACTGGGTGCTGCTGATAACGGACGAGCAGCAGGCTTCTCATTTTGGGAGATTGTTTCTTTTGGGAAGAGAAATAATAAATGACAAAACCCTTGTGATTGTAGCGCAGCAGACAAACCCCCTTATGCAGTGCATGCAGCAGCAGCAGCAGCAGCAGCAGCAGCAGCAGCAACAGCAACAGCGGCAGCAGAAAGAGCAGCAGCAGCAGCAGCAACAGCGAGAGCAAGAGCAGCATCTGCATGGGCAGCAGCTGCAGCAGCTGCGTCAAGAACAGCAGGATAAGCAGCAGCAGCAGCAGCAGCAGCGGCGTGAGGTGTACGTGCAGCACTTGGGTGTGGGGCTTGTGAAGAGCCCCAGCGGCAGCAAACTTGCATCAAGAGCAGCAGCAGAAGGTCTGCAGCAGTTTATGGCAGCAGCACTTGAGGCTACAGGTGGGTCTTCGGGTTTAGGGCGGGGGATTAGGGTTTAGGGTTTGGCAGTTAGGGTTTAGGGGCTAGGGTTTAGGGTTTGGAATTCGCATGTCTGCAGAGTGCGAGTTGAAGCGAAGACGCCCAGATCTCTTTGGGGCCGAACTTAAAGAAAAAGCTGAACTTATCAGTGAGCTGCTGCTGCTCCAACGCTGCTGCTGCTGCTGCTGCTGCTGCTGCTGCTGTTGCTGCTGCTGCTGCTGTTTTCGGTGGTTAGCCCTATTGCTGCTGCCGTGGTTGCGTTGAGGCCTGCCATCCAGCTGTGCGTGTGCGTTGCTGCTCCTGCTGCCCCCGCTGCTGCTTCTGCGCTGCTGCTGCTGCTTCTGCTCTGATGCTGCTGCTGCTGCTGCTGCAGCTGCAGCGACGGCGCGCCTGTGGGTGCTGGGCCATTCCGTCTCTGCCGAATTTCGAGTTCCTCAAAAGCCGGGCTGCGTTGCTGCAGCAGCTTTTCCTCTATTGTACGGCCGGGCCCGCGCGCGGCGAGTTTGCTGCAGTGCAGGTATTGTTTGTTTTTTTTCCTTTTTGGCTTTTTGTCTTTTATTTTATTATTAGATTATTATGTCTATAAAGTAGAATGATATAGTCATATATTGTTTTACTTAATAAATAAAATAATATTATAGTATATTATTTATAAAATAAAATGATATGGTAAAATGTTATTTTATTTGTAAAATAAAATAATAATATATTATTTTATTTGAAGAGTAAAATAACATAAGATTATTTAATTTATAAGGTAAAATAATAATGTACCATTTTATTTATCAAGTAAGATAATATAATGACATTTTTTCCGTTGGTTTCTCTCTGTGATATACGAGGTGAATGTATTAATTCCATTTATAAAAATATTAATATGCAAAAACGAAAATAAAATAACATAAATAGTAATAAATGTTCACAAGGCGTTTGCAGTGCGTGCGCTCCTGCTTCTGGATTTTTGGTTCAACTTTTTGATGAGGTTTGTTGCAGTTGTCTTTGCTGCTGCTGCAGCTGTTGCTGATGCTGTAGCAGCAGCTGCTCGTGCTGCAGCTGCTGTGGTGCAGTTGCTGCTGCAGCAGCTGTTACTGCTGCCGCAGCTGCTACTGCAGCAGCTGCTGCAGCACAGATCCCAGTCGTGTGTGCTGTGCCTTGCAGAGGGCCTCAGACAAACTGCTGCGCTGCCAGGGGGCCCCCAGGGGGCCCCCAACCCAGGCAACAGGGGCCCCCAGAGGGCTCCCAACCCAGGCAGCAGGGGGCCCCAGGGGGCCCCCCTGCTGCCGGAGTTGGGCCGGCGGTTGGCGGCGAAGGCTGCGAGTTTTGGGGTGTACGTACACCGCAGCGCAGCGTCGCTCGACCCCTCAGTGCTCGTTTCTTATTTGCTGGACCTCGCCCGCACTTTTAATCGTTTTTATGAGACTTCTCACATCACTTGCCGCCGCCGCAGCAGCGGCAGCAGCAGCTGCAGCAGCAGCAACAACAGCGCACCCGCGAAGCAACGCCAGCAGCAGCAGCAGCAGGAGCAGCAGCAACAGCTACAGCAGCAGCAGCAACAACAACAGCAGCAGCACCTGCAGCGGGAAGAGGGCTTCCTGCGCAAGGCAGGGCCATCAGACAGGGGAGTGCAGCCTGCTGCTGGCGAGGTGTACGTACACCCGGAGCGGCTGCTGCTGTGCCGCGCAGTGCAGCAGATTTTTGAGAAAAGTTTTGAACTGCTGGGGATAGAAGGTCCCCAAGACATTTAGTGAAACAACAAAGTTTCTCGAGCTCTAAACCCTAAACCCTAAACCCTAGGACTTGCGCGCCAAACCCTAGGCCCAGACTCTCAGCCCTAAACCCTTGGCCTCACGGGGCCAGGGGACAAAACTGAAACATTTTATTAAAGACAATAAAACTGTTACTCTTATTTATAGCCCCAGAAGGCCCCACCGCACTCAGGGAAACCCGCAGCCGCAAACTCCCAAAACGGCACAGCCCCAATGCCAAACGCCTGCAAACTGCATGCATGCATGCATGCAACAAGTGCATGCACGCACGCATGCATGCATGCATGCGTGCGTGCATGCAACAAGTGCATACATGCATGCGCCTGCTGCGTGCACTCATGCAAAGCCATGGCGTAACGCCGCCTGTAGTTAAAAAACGCGTGCATGCATACATGCATGCAACAAGTGCATGCATGCATGCATGCATGCAACTTTGCATGCGTAGTGACGCCTTCGGCTCGGGGCTTTCTACCCTGGGCACTCCTGCATGCAGCGAACCGCAAGCGCAGACATGACTGCTGACCCTAAAACCCTAAACCCTAAACCCTAGGCCCGAGACACCAGCGCCGAGCCCCAAACCCTAAACCCTAAACCCTAAGCTTCACCTGGTACGACTGGCGCAGGGCCTCCGCCCCAGACATTTCTTCTTCATCCTCATCTGTCCCTGCGCAGCACCAAGCCCCAAACACTGAACCCTAAACCCTAAACCCTAAAGCCTAGGCCTCAAGTGCCACACTGCCTCGCTGCGGCGCGCGTTTGGGTCCCTACGCCGCGGCCGCGAGCTCCAAAGCCGCAAACCCTAAACCCTAAACCCTAAACCCTAGACTGACACTCTGTTTGGGCCTGCGCAGGACAAGAACTGCTGCAGCTCTCTCGCTTCTTTCTATTCAAATCTTTCATTTTGTTGGCAGCCTTCAAAATCGCCAAAGCGCTGAAGCCCGCCAGCGAGAAGCCCTTTCGCCCACTATCAGAACGGGGGCCCTCACTAGGGGCCCCAAGGGGGCCCCCCGAGGGGCCCCCAGGGGGGCCTCCAGAGGGGCCCCGAAAGGGGCCCCCAGAGAGGCCCCCAGCGTCACCCTCGCTGGGGCCTTCACTGGGGCCCCCACTGGGACCTTCATTGAGGCCCCCAAAGGGGCCCCTACTGGCGCCATCGCTGCGCCTTTCATGGGGGCCCCCACTGGGGTCTTCATTGGGGCCCCCAAAGGGGCCCCTACCGGCCTTGTTGGGGGCCCCCATGGCTCCCCCATTGGTGCCTATAGGGGGGCTCCTACCAAAGCCCCCAGAGGGATCCCCAGGGGGGCCCCCGAGAGGGCTGCACTGGCCGTCCCAGCTGCTGCCACAGGGGCCCCCGCAGAGGTCTTCTAGGGTTTCTGGGAAGGGGCCCTCAGGGGGGCCCCCACAAGGGCCTAGGCAGCAGAGCTCCAGGGGCCTCCCTTGGGAAGGCACAGCCCCCTTAGGGGCCCCTGAGGGCCCCTCTGTAGGCGCCTCCAGGGGACTACCCTGGGGGCCCCCCTGGGGGGGCCCCCTGGGGAGCCTCTTTGGGGGCCCCTGAGGGGGCCCCTGGGGGGCCCCCTTTGGGGTCCCCAAGGGGTCCTCGGAGGGGCTCCCATCTGGGGCAGTCAGGAGGCGACGGCCGCGCGGCAAATAGGGCAAATAGCTGCAAGGAGGGGCCACTTCTTCCATTATGTCATGCTGCAGCAGCACAATCTGCTGCTGCTGCTGCTGCTGCTGCTGCTGAGGCTGCTGCTGTGGCTGTTGCTGCTTGTCTGCAGCGCCAGAGCTGGGACGTATGCGGTCTTCGGGAAGCGTCCGTGCCTCAGCAGCAGCAGCAGCAGTAGCAGCAGCAGCAGCAGCGACGATGGCCCTCCTGTTCACTTCTTGCTGCTGCAGCAAGGAGCCGCCCCTGAGCCTCTCGGCCACGCGCTGCTGCATTTTCTGCTGGCTCCCAGCGCTGCAGCAGCAACAAACAGAACAGCAGCAAGCACAGCAGCAGCAGCCACAGTTCCATCAGCAGCAGCAGCAGGCGGAAGGCATCTTTTGATACACACAAACCAAGCTAGCGCCTACAAATCAGAATTTAGAGCTTAGGGTTTAGGGATTAGGGTTTAGGGTTTAGGTTTGGGGGCCTTTTCCGTACAGTAGCCGTGCGGCTTGCGCCCGCATTAGCGCCGCCCTGGCTGGAATCTGCTGCTGCTGCTGCTGCTGCTGCTTCTGTTGTTCCTGCATTTGCTGCTGCTGCTCCTGATAGTGGTTCTGTGGTTCTTGCGGTTGTTTCTGCTGCTCTCGTTGCTGCTGCGGCTTTTGCTGCTGCTGCTGCTGCCGTTGCTGCTGTTGCCGTTTGGCTTGCTGCATCTGCTGCTGTGGTCGTACTTGGCGCTGCGTTTGCTGCTCCATATTGTGTCGCTGCGTGCACGGCTTCCCCTGCTGCTGCTGCTGCTGCTGTTGCTGCTGCTGCTGCGTTTTAGCCCGTCGCCAGCACTCTTTCCTTACGACAC